GACAATGAGGTCTTTTCTCGAGATGAACTGCCAAGAATCCAAACTCTACTACAAAGAGTGCAATTCCAATGAGCTGGCCACATAGTATGTTTACCTAAAGACTGTTTTACAGAGAATTCACATGAGGCAAGCACTCACACAGAGGTCAGAAGAAGCAATACAAGGACACTCTCAAGATCTCTCTTTAGAACTTTAGTATTAATTTTGAGACATTGGAAATACTGGCACAGGACTACCCTGCATGGCGTGCCTGCATCCAAGAAGGTGCTGTGCTCCATGACCAAAGCAGAATCACAGTAGCTCAAAAAAAGAAGAATGTGAGATGTGCAATTCCAGAGATACCTCCATCACAAATGTTCAAATAGGCTATTTGTGCCCAATCTGTGGTAGAGACTTCCGAGTTTCTATTGGTCTGATCAGCCACAGTTGGACACACTGCACCTTGACTCTAACATCATGATGTCATTTTGGTCCTCTTTGAAGACAAAGGACAAATATCAACAACAATTATTTCTCACACTCTAAAATTTACTTTGAGGTATTAAGTTATTGGGGGGAGAGGGAGAAGGGATTTGGGAGAGCCAAGTAATTTCCTGCCTTGTTCTGCCATCTTCCCACAATTCCCTGAATTCCACTTTCTTTAAAGTGGCAAAAACCATATATCCTTCCCTCTTAGAAAATAACTATTTACAAAAATAACAATACATGCCAAATAACCAAAAAAAAGTTATGAATATGTCTACTTCTTTTTTCCCCTGGATCTTTTAAATTATATTTTCAGCTCTAAATTCCCTCCCTCACAGCTTCCCCAACTCTTCTTCTCTCTACCGAGAAATCAAGAAAAACAAAATCTGTTGCAAACATGCATAATCAAGGAAAACAGATACTGGCATTAGCCAATTCTAAAAACAAACAAACATAGGCCTTAATCTTTATTTTTGAGTCTATCCTCTATCTGAAGGTGTGTAGCATGTTTCATAAGGAAAACAGATACTGGTATTAGCCAATTCTAAAAACAAACAAACATAGGCCTTAATCTTTATTTTTGAGTCTATCCTCTATCTGAAGGTGTGTAGCATGTTTCATCAGTTCTCTGAATTGTGGTTGATCAAAGCTCCTAAAATCTTCAGTTGTTTATCTTTACAGTATTGTTGTAATTGTATAAATTATCATCCTTGTTCTGCTCACTTCATTTTGCATCATTTCCTACAAGTCTTCTTAGGTTTCTCTGAAATATTCCTTCATTTCTTATAGCATAATAATGTTCCCTCACACTCATGTGCCATAACTTGTTCAACCATTCTCCAACTGATGGACACCCCCTTCAGTTACAATTCTTTGCTACCACAAAAAGAGTTGCCAAATTTTTGTACATATAAGGACTTTTCTTCTTTCTTTGATCTCTTTAGAGGAATAGACCTAGTATCACCATCACTGGGTCAAGGGGTATGCACAGTTTAATAACTGTTGGGGCAGAATCCCAAATTGCTTTAGAACAGCTGAACCTGTTCACAATTCTAGCAATAGTGCATTAATTTCTCACAGCTCCTCCAGCACATATTCTTGAACGAATTTTATATGGCTATTGATAGCTTTGATTTATTTCTCTAAAAACTGCCTGTTCATATCCTTTCATCATTTACCAGTTAGGTAGGGAATGGCTCTTATTCTTATAAATTTGAATCAGTCCTTTATATATTTTAGACATAAGACTTTTATCAGAGAAACTTACTGTAATTTTTTTAACCAGTTCTTTGCTTCTTTTCTAATTTTAGCTGCATTTGGTTTTGTTTGCTTAAAAAAAAAACCCAAAAACAAAAAAAAATCTTATTTAATCAAAATTGCCTTTTACCTCTTGTGAACCTTTTTTATCATGAACTCTTTGCCTATCCATAGATCCGATAGGTAATTTCTTCCCTATTCCTCTAATTTGGGGATTTTTTCTTAATATATGGGTGGTATGATATACCTCGTTTCTGCCACACTACTTTCCAATTTTTCCAACAGTTTTTGTCAAATAGTGAATTCTGGAACTAAAAACTGGGATCTTTGGATTTACCAGACATTAGGCTACTATGCTCATTTGCTTCTGTGTATTGTATACCTAATCTGTTCCACTGACCAACCTATTTCTTACCCAGTACCAACTTGTTTTGATGATTATGGCTTTGTAGTATGGTTTGAGATCTGGTACTGCTAGGCCACCTTCCCACTTATTTTCATTAATTGATTTGATATCCTTGATCTTTTGTTTTTCAGATTAATTCCAGTTTTTTCTAGCTCTATAAAGTAATCCTTTGCTACTTTGATTGTGAAAGCACTGAATAAATTAATTTACATAGTATTATCATTCTTATAATAGCTCAGGCTACCCATCAGCAATCAATATTTATGTAACTATTCAGACCTCTGTTTTTGTAGTGCTTTATAAATGTGTTCATATAGTTCCTGTGTGTGTCTTGACAGACTCCCAAGTAATTCTTCCTTCAGTATTTATTTTAAATGGATTTTTTTTCTATCTCTTCCTATTGGATAAAATGTTTGCATTTTTCTATGGGTAGATGAATCCTATCTTCATCAGGGGTCACAGAGAGAGTCTAATTAAACAGAGGGCCTGGGAATGATTTTGTTATATTTTAATGTCAAAATAATGGAAAGGGAGAGGAAAAGGAATACACTTGAGGGGGAGAGGAAGACAGGAGAAAATGAGAAAGGGGAAAATTATCTCACCTAAGTAGGATATACCAACAAAAGTCCACTCAACAAGGAGGGAGTGTTGGGGCCAAGAGAGCAAGCAACACTTGAATCTCCATATCATCTGAACTGGTCAAAGGAGGGAAGAATATTTATTTGTATATACATAAAAATATATGTGCGTATGTGTATATGTATGTATATGTATAACATATACACCCACACACATTCGTGCGCACGCACACCCACACCCACACACACATACACACACATGAGTTGCTCACAGAAATAAATATCATCCGACACAGAAAGAAGGGAGAAAATGGTTAAGGAAAAGGCAGTGAGTAATAAGAGGGAGGGCAGATTAGGAGAGGGATTGGCAGAAAAAGAAAAAAATTCTTAAAGAGGAGGCAAAAAACAACAAGAAAGCATAAGAAAACAGGATGGAGAAAAATACATAACTAATAATCATAAGTGTGAATGGAAAAAACTCACCCATAAAAGGGACGAGTATAGCAGAATGATTACAAACCAGAATCTAACAAAATGTTGTTTACAAAATACACACTTGAAACAGAAAGCTAAACAGAGAGTTAAAAGGAGAGGCTGGAGGAATTTATTTTTCTTCAGTTGGAGTGAAAAAAGGCAGGGGTGACAATCATGATCTCAGATAAAGCAACAACAAAAACAGACCTAATTAAAAGCTACATTATACCGAAAGGTACCACAGACAATGAATTTATATCAATACTGAACACATATATACCAAATGGCATAGCATCTAAACTCTTAAAGGAAAATTAAATTAATTATATGGGGAAAGAAATTAAACTTAAATAGTGGGGGACTTCAATTTCTACCATGTTAGTCCCAGATAACTCTGACCAAAAAATTTTTTTAAAAAATTGAAAATCTGGATATCGTTTTAGAAAAGCTAGAGATGATAGGCCTCTGGAGAATACTAAATTGGAATAGAAAGGAGTATACCTATTTCTCAGCTGTGTATGGTAATTGTGAAAGTAACATATATTCACAAAAACTTACTGTGTTAAGAACATAAAAAGGCAGAAAATCAGAAATATTAAATTCATCTTTTATGACAATGCAATAAAATTATATTCAATAAATGAACTTTGAAGCAAAGATTAAAAAAGCAATTAGAAATTAAATAACTAAAACCTAAAGAATAGGTGAGTCAAAGAACCATAAAAAAAATGATTTCAATAAGATAATAACAATAAAGAAATAGCACACCAAAATTTGAGGGATGTAGTCAAAGCAGGACTTAGGGGAAATGCTATGTCTTAAATATTTTCATCAATAAAAGAGAAAGCAGATCAACAAATATTGTATGCAAGTAAAACAATTAGGAAACCAACAAATTTAACCCTTTCCCCAATTAAAAACCAAGGAAGAAATCTTCAAAATTAAAGAGAATTAAAGAAGCAAAAATAAAAAACAATCAACTAATAAATAAAACTATGAACTAGGAGGGGAAAAGGAAACAGATAAACCATTAGGTAATTTGATTTAAAAAAACAAAACAGAATTACCAGCATCAAAAAAGGAAAAGGTAAATTCACAACTGATGGGGAAAAAAATTATTAGGAGCTATTCTGCCCGAGTATATGTCAATAAAACTGACAATCTAATATTAACAACTCCCTCATCACCATCATACTCCTTCAGAAAAATGGAAACTAGTCACATTTTTTCCTGTGGGAAAAAAATTGAAATCTCTCTCTTCACATATATCTGTTCCTCAGAGAGATGCCAGTGGAGGTCAGGAAGGAGGTAGGAATAATCAGATACAGAGAGACAATCCACTGACAATATTCATGACACCTTCATATTAGTGGCAAATGACAACAAATATAGGAATTCCTGAAGAGTGGATAAAGGGACAGAGCAAATTTGCTCTAATTCATAGTTCTTGGAGTGACTGAGCTCCAGCTTAGGATATTACATTCCCATTTATTTCAAATTCTTTGAGTTTCCTAAAAAGTAAAGGAAGCAGTAAACAATGTTTACCTCCTCCCCTTCTTTATATAGATTAGTCTATCAGAAAATAAACCTTAATGAAAGTCTCATAGGCACATGATACTCAGGAGAGTACAAAAATAAGAGAAACACAGGCTCTGCCCGTGAGGAGCTCACGATTACTTTAAAGGATTTTGATCCCAGGATACATTTGCTGAGATTTAATAACAGTTACAAAGTTGTCTGAAGATCTGTCATATATAAAATCTGCACAGGGTCAAAGTTTGGTGTGTACTCTTCGATGTGTCATAAGGCCAGACCAATGCCTGAAGGGTTTCCCACATTCTTTACATTCATAGGGCTTCTCTCCAGTATGAATTCTCTGGTGTTGAGTAAGAGCTGAGCGTTGATTGAAGGCTCTCCCACATTCATTACATTCATAGGGTTTTTCTCCAGTATGAATTCTCTGATGTTGAATAAGGGAAGAGTTCTGATTGAAGGCTTTCCCACATTCCCTACAATGATAGGGTTTATCTCCAGTGTGAATTCTTTGATGCTGAATAAGGTCTGAGCTCACCCTGAAAGCTTTCCCACATTCACTACATGAATAGGGTTTCACTCCAGTGTGAATTTTTTGATGTTTCCTAAGATATGAACGTCGGCTGAATGCTTTCCCACACTGAGTACATTTGTGAGGTTTCACCCCTATATGAATTCCCTGATGTTTTCGAAGTTCTGAGTTCTGCTTGAAGGTTTTCTCACATTCATTACATTCATAAGGCCTCTTGACAGTCTGATCTATTTGATGTACACTAGAAGATGAATTCTGTCTGGAGTTTTGGTCATTTGTAGCAGATACATGGGTTTTCTCTCCTGTTGGAATTCTACGTCGTGTAACCAGGTTTGAGTTCAAATGACAACTACACAAACACTCATCATATTTATGGCCATTCTCTCCTAAGGGAATTTTTTCAGAAGGGATGGTCACTACCACAAAATTTCCATCCTGGGAAAGGGATCCTTCTACTTTCTCCACTTTGTTTCCCTGTTGCTTGTCTAGAGTGCCTTCACATTCATTGGCTTCTCCAACCTTGGTTCCCTTGGAAGCATCCACTGGGAATCTTCCAGATAGCCTCCCCTGTGACTCCTCTTCTTCAGAAAGTTCCTGCTTCGGAAGGGTCCACTTGGTACTAGTCTCAAAATCTGAAATGATCAACAGAAAATACAAATGTCATGTGTGTCTCTCAGGAAGCGGAGTGAGTTCCAAGAAGGAACTGGCAGCTTAGTGAAAGCAAGACAGGGGTTTTATAGGGCAAAAGATGCAATTACCTAACAGAATATATGAATATTAAAAAGGGTGTGTCAGGGGATCAGGCAATAGGGGAGGGGTCTCAGCCTCGGTGGAACTGTGCAATTTCCCATAATGCATACAGAAAAACTCACTGGAGGAGAGGAGCATATATGTATGATAATGATATTACAATAAGCCTCTCTATGTCATAAGTTCACCTAAAGGACAGCTTTTGCTATTACTTCACAGGTGCCTACATAGGCCTTATTAGGATTTCATCAATCCCACCCCACAACCACACACAAAAAAGACTATGAAGCAGCAAGGTGGTGCAATGGATAGAGCTCTGGGTCTGAGGTTTGGAAGACCTGAGTTCAAATCCAGTCTCAGACACTTACTAGCTATGTTACTTAGCCTGTCTGCTTCAGTTTCCTCAACTGTAAAATGGGGAAAATAATAGCACCCAACTTTCAGAATTGTGAGGATTAAATAAGATGAAAATACTTGTAAAGCACTTATCACCATACCTGGCACATAGTATTCTTGCAATAAAACTTGTTCTCTCCCCTCCCTTGTTCCCCATACTCTTAATCTCACAATCATCCACGGGTGTTCCATTTCCATGTTGACAAACTCTGAAATTGCCTTATGTTATCACAATCAGCTGTCATTACATATCCACATCTTCTACCTTGCAACTTAACACTTTGTTCTTCATCCTCACTGTGACCTCTAATCCCTCTACCCCTTATGTTTCTCCCAGGCCATCACCTCTGCTCTGGCTACACTCTCCTCCCTTCCCCATCCTGGCAAATACCAAGTCAGCTCTACACTGTCCTCTCCTCTCAAGATCCTTTGCTCCCTTCTCCTATCACAAGATCCTGCCAAACCTTCGCCTTGAATTACATCCTCTCCACCTCCCCTCCTCTGTCTTCACTCTTATTTATGTACTGCTGAATGACGCTGGAGAAAGCTGAAACTGTGTTGACTGAGTCCACTATAAATTTATGTTACATAATCTCAACTGGGCCCTCATTGCAGCAAGACAATCCTTTTATACTTCCCTAAACAATTCACTATCCTGCTCACCACTAACTCTTTCCTCCTAAACCTTTTCAGCAGTCTCACTCTTCCCATGGCTCCTCACCACCAGCTCACAGCCTTATCTCATGTTTCACTGAAAGAATTCAGGCCCTTTGTCGAAAGCCCCCTCTCACTCCTTTCTCCTCATCTCCTAACAGGTTGATGCCTCTCCCAGTTTGCTGTGCTTCAGGCTCTCATGAAGGGTGGCCCTTCTCCTTGCCAAGGCAAACACGTACTCCATGAACAAATTATCTCAGTCTAGCAGATACCCCATCTATCATCCCCACTTTCACTTATCATCCAACTCTCCCCCCATCTACTGCTGCCAACAAGCATGTCCATGTCTCCCCCATCCTCAGAAGACCCTCACTTGGTCCATTTATCCCCACTAGCTATTATCCTACCTCTCTCCTCCCTTTCCTAGCTAAACTCCTTGAGAAGGCCCTCCACAAACATGCCTCTACTTCCTTTCCTCTTTCTCCTAACTCTGCAATCTGGCTTCTGACCTCATCATTCAACTGAAACTGCTCTCTCCAAAGTTACTAATGATTTTTTTAATTGCTACATTTAATGATCTTATACTTCTAGGCCTCTCTGCAGCCTCTGACACTGTCAGACACCCTCTTTTCCTTGATACTCACTTATCCAAGTTTTCCTGACAGTGCTCTCTCCTGATTCTCCCACTACCGATCAGACAACTTCTTCTCAGTCTCCTCTGCTGGATCTTCATCCAGGTCATGCCTGCTAACCCTGAGTGTCCCCCAAGGTTCTATCCTGTGCCCACTCCTCTTCTCCCTATACTATTTCACTTGGTAAACTCATCAACTTCCATGTATTCAATTATCATCTCTATGAAGATGATTCTCAAATCTCCTTATTCTGCCTTAACCTCTTTCCTAAACTCCAGTCCCAAATTTCTAACTGCCTATTAAACATCTCAAACTGAATATCACATAGATGTTGCATCTTAAACTCAACATATCTAAAACTGAATTCGTTATTTCCCCCAAAGAACCCTCTTCCTAACTTCCCTACTCCTGTCAAGGATACCACCTGCCTCTTAGTCACTCAGGCTCAAAATCCACTCTTCATTCTCTCTCACCTCCTCCCTAACATCTTGACAGCATCAAGTCTTGTCATTTCTACCTTGATAACATGTTTGGTATATGCACTGTTCTTTCCAGGTGCAGGCCTCTATCACCTCGCGCCTAGACTATTGTCAAAAGCTTGACAACCGATCTCTGCTCCTTAAGTCTTACCCCATCTCAGGGCATGTCCCACTCAGCTGGCTGAAAGAATGATCTTCCTAAAGCTTGGATCTGACCAGTTTCCAAACTCTGTCTGCATCAGTTTTCTCAAAATAAAATGGGGTATAATAATAACATTGGTTACTTCACAAAGTTGTTGAGGGGGATCACATGAGATAATACGTGTAAAGCTCTTAGTAAAATGCCTGGTTACATAACCAGGGCATAATAAATGCATGTTCCTTCCCCCTTCCATTCTCCTATTCAACAAACTCTCATGGCTCCCTACGGGTTCCAGGATCAAATATAAAATCCTGAGTTGGGCTCTTAAAACCTTTCACAGTGTGGCTTCCTGCCTTCCCAGGCTTCTGGAACTTGTCCCACCTGCACACCTTGGTGATCCAGTGACACGGGCTTCCTTGCTGTTCCACAAACATAACAATGAATTCCCCTCTCCTTGCACTCTCACTGGCCATGTCACCTCCCACCTGACTTCCATGCCTTCCTTCAACATCCCACCTTCTACAAGCAGCTCCTCAACCCCATCAGGCTAGTGCCTTCCCTATGTTGATTATGTCCAGTTTCACCTGTATGTATCTTGTCTGTACACATTTCTTTGCATATTCTGTGCCCCATCAGACTGTGAGCTCCTTGAGAGCAGAGATTGTTTTTCTCCTTTCTTTATATAACCAGTGGCTACCACAATATGTGGCACACAGTAGGGGCTTAATAAATGCTTGCTGATTTATCTTGCTTGTTAACAAAACAAATGTAGTATAACAGCTTTGTAATATTATCAATGAAACCACTTAAGCAACATTTGCCGTGGATAATTGAATCAGGAATGTTATTTTTTCTTATCCTTCAAAAGACACTAGTGTTAAAGATGCTGACAATGTTGATCTTCTAATTTACAAGATCATGAAGCATCTGAAATGACTGGTTGTTAAATGAAAATCCCTTCAAAAATCCCTTCATGGAATCAGATTTTTCAAATGGGAAGGGACCTGAAAGACCATCTAGTCCAACCCCTTACTTTACAGATAAGAAAACTTAGGCCTAGACAAGTTACATGACTTGCCCAAAATCACACTGATTGGAACTGGCTAAGCCAGCATTTCAACTGATGTCCTTTGATACCAAATCCTGTACATCACACTACCTCTTAATCACTAAAGACAAGAAACTGAGGAGCCAGACCCTGTTCTAACCCATTTAAAAATAACCCCCACTCCCATCACCACCTCTTCTCTCCCTTCTTCCCCTCCTTCTGATATTTAGTCTTGCTCCTCACCTCTTTCTTGTAGGAACTGGGGTTCTGGTGACCCAAACTTGATCTGGGCATTCATAGGCTGAAGCTGGATATTCAGTGCATCTTGTGCTGCTCTCAAGGGTGCCATCTTCTCCCAGCCCCCTGCCTCTCTCTGGGTGCTTGATGCAACCTGAAGATAATGAGATATGTTTGCCTTTGAGAAAAAATCACCATGGAAGCTAAAACATAAAATACAGAAAGAAAGTACATTCCTTCAGGGATACAGGACAGGGGAGGAAGAACCAGAGTCTTGTTTGTCAGATTCAAACTGGCTGTATTAAGATTAACAAAAACCATAAACCAATCCAGGAGGCACTTTTTATTAATAATGAATAGTATATTGCCTTTCAGGAAAATAGCTGACTTGGCACATGAAAGAATTAACCACATAGGAAATTTTTGTTACTGATACACAGGAAATCTCAAGAAATTCCATGTGATTACTTGCACAATGAATGATTTAGTATTGAGTACTATGAATGTCAAGAAATCTTGAAACAATTATGAAGATATTCCTATTTATATTTATCCCTTTTTACCAATTAAAAATAAATTATGGGTTTACCTTTTACCATTAATAAAACAGCACATCGATAACATTACTTTAACTTTTAGGAACTGTGAAAACCATGCTGTCACTGAAAAATCATTCTTAAGCATAAATCCTAAGCGTAAAATGTTAGGGAAGATTGAGAGTATAGAACAGCTGGCCGAAAACATCTGATTACCCCCTTTGCTGTTGTGATAGAAGACAATAAAGGAACCTTAACAATTATCTAGTCCAAACACTTCATTTTACAGCATGAGAAAACTGAGGACCAGAGAGGTTAAGAAACTTGGTCTAATAAGCAGAAGAGACAGGATTTAAGCCCAGCTCCTGCGACTTTAAACTTAACACACTTTGCCCTCTACTAGCCTCCCTCCCATGCCATGCTTATGTTCAGTCTTCATCCTCTTTGACCTTTTACCACTTTGATACTGCTGACCTCCTTCTCCTTTTTAAAACTCTGTACTTCAAAAATATTTATAGCAGCTCATTCTGTAATGGCTAAGAACTGGAAATCAAAGGGATACCCACCAACTGGGGAATAGCTAAACAAGCTATGGTATATGATTGTGATAGAATATTATTGTGCTATAAGAAATAATGAGCAGAAAAACCTGGAAAGACTTACATGCAAAGTGAAGTGAACAGAACCAGAAGAACACTCCACACAGTAACAGCAATATTGTTCAATGAAAAACTGTGAATAACTTAGGTATTCTCAGCAACGATCTAAGACAATCCCAAAGGACTAATGATGAAGCATACTTATCTGCCTCCAGAAAAAGAACTGATATTGTTTGAATACAGACTGAAGCATGTTATTTTTCACTTTTTTCTTTCTTTTTCTTTTAATCGAGTCTTCTTATACAAATGACTAATATGGAAATGTTTTACGTCATTGTACATGTATAACCCATATCTGATTGCTTCCCATCTCAAGGAGGGGGGGAGGAAAAAATAGAATTTAAAACTCAAAAGTTAAAAAAAAAACAAACCTGAGGTTTAAAATTGTTTTAATAGGTAGCTGGGGAAAAAAAGATATATTTTTAATATATTTATTTATATATATATATATATATATATATATATATATATATATTAAAGATACATTTTTATATATATTTGAAAATACATATTAAAAAAATTTAAAACTCTGTATTTCCTTGATTTTCATAATACCACGTTATGCTTCTTCTCCTACCTGTCTGACCACTCCTTCTCTAGGTCTTTGTATGTTCCTTTCTCCATTCCCAATGCCTAAAAACAGGCATTCCGTTCTTTTCCCTGTACTCTCCACCGTAAGGTGACAGGGCATAGAGGGCTGGGCCTGCAGTCTGAAAGACCTGAGTCCTAATACAGCTTCAGACATTTACTAGCTGTGTGAACCTGGGCAAGTCACTTAACTTCTCTTTGTCTCAGTTTCCTCAACTGTAAAATGGGCATAATAATATCCCCTAGCTCACAGGGTTGTTGTAAGGAACAAATGAGATCAAATGGGATAATATTTTTAAAGCACTTAGCACAGGACCTGGAACATAACAGGAACTTAATAAATGCTTGTTTCATTCTCTACACTCTCCCTAAGAGACTTCATTCACTTTCAAGTAGACTTGGCAATTATGTCATCAATCAGGTTAAAAACCTCAGTCATCCTTGATTTTCTCCCTAACTCCTACATCCAAAACTCACCAAGTCCTGTTGATTTCTTTTGTCTTTCTATCTACATCACTTAGGGCAGTGCCTCATATATACAAGATGCTTAATAAATGGTTACTAATGGACTATAGAAATTGCTTCCTAAAATGGTACTCCTACCTCCAATCTCCCTTAACTACATCAATAATATGGAGTTACGAAGACTCATCTTCCTGAGTTCAAATCTGGCCTGACTTATTAGCTGTGTTACCCTGAGTAAATCACTTAACCATGTTTGCCTCAGTTTCCTCATCTATAAAATGAGCTGGAGAAGGAAATGGCAAACCACTCCAATATCTTTGCCAAGAAAATCCCAATGGGATCACAAAGAGTCAGACACAACTAAAAAATGACTAAAAACTACCAGAATAATCTTACTAAAAATGCTTTTCCTCACAACACTGCCTTGCTCAACAGAAACCTTCACTGGGTCCCTAATGGTACTAAAAAGAGTCCAAATTCCAGAGATTGTCATGTAAGATGCCGTTGCCTTTGCAGCTTCAAACTATTATCCCACATGAATCCTCCAACTCAAAGTAGTCAACTATGCCATAAATCTTTATGCACGTTCAACTCCCTAAATGAGCAGCACTCACTCTGCTTGCAATGGTACTTCTGCTTGTATGTGTGTATATATGTGTGTGTATCCACACTCTCCCACATATATATATATATATGTGTGTATATATATATATATATATATGCTTATTTATCCCTCAAGAACCAGATCAAGGTTTATGCACTTTCCACAGAAATTTGCCAGACTAATCAACTGGCATTTCACATTTATGGTCTATGGTGGTTCCCAAGTATGAGGGCCCCTTTTAAAGAAAAAAACATACCCCTAGACAGTAGCATATTCATAGAGCACATTTTGCTAGAGCTAAAAATCAAAATGATAGTACAAATATGGACTCACATATACCCCTTGCAACCATTCTAGGAGGCTCCTAGGGGTCCAGAACCCACAGACTGAGAACCAACTTATTTGGGAATGAATATGTGATATAGATTGTAGTTTCTTCTATTATGTATGTTATAGTGCTCAATCTTCAAAGCCTTGAACTCTTAAATTCCCTTCTCTGATCACAATCTAACTCTCCACCTTGCCATTCCTACCAAACTTGCTGCCCACAATCACAATGATGTTCATTCTGTCCCTTCAATCTTCACTGCTGTTCTGTTTCTACCCAGCCTTGACCCCATAGGTCACCTATTTCAATGACATTAGGCATTACTTGAGAATCTTCTACCCCTTTCACTTTCCATACTGACCCATCCCCAACCATGAATAACACTTGGCTAGATCTGAAATACTGTATGCTACTGGAGAAAGTCAAAAAACTGAGGCCAGTGGGTGAGTATGTCCAAAACAACCATGTCAACATCAGGCTGGATCCCTCACTACAACTTACTCCCTATCACATTCCGCACATTTTTTTTACTTTTGCCTGTCCCCAGCTTCACTTCCTACCCCCCTCCCCAGTCATAGATCTCACTTCCTACTTATCCTAAGAAGACTGAGGTCATCTGACCTGAACCTCCTCAACTTCTTTCTTCCTTCTCACTTCAAAACCTCTCTATCACCTATCTTTTCTTCCTCCTAGACCAAAGAAACAGCTGGCCTTCCTCTTTGCCAAGTCTAACTCCACTTATCATTCTGACCCCATCCCCTCTTGCCTCCTCCACGACTTGCTTCCTAACATAATCCTTTCCATAATGGAATCAACAAGATCTGAGGAGGAATCCTGACTCAAACACTTCTAGCTATCCTAGGAAGGTCACTGATTACAGGGTTGCTGTCAGCACTAAATGAGGGGACGGGTGAATAGAGAGCATTTTGCAAAACTTCAAGCAATCAACAAATAGTGGATATTATTATGAAGTTTCACTTTCTCTCAGCAAGCTCTTTCCTCCCACCTACAAACCATGGTTAGCCTCTCTTATCTGAAAAACAAAAGCTTTCTACTGACATTGCTACCTTTTTCAAGTGACCACTCCATGGTCTTTCCTCCTCTTCAGTGTCAAATTTCTAGAAAGAATGAACTACATTCATTCTTTCTTCTTCCTCATCACCAGCTCTTTCATGCTATTCTGGCTTCTCTACTTTCCACTCTAGTGACCACCTTCTAATTTGTCAGCCTTGATCTCTCTGCCACATTTGACACTGGTAACCTGCTCCCCCCTTCCCTCCTCCTTTCTTTCCACCCTACTTGGCTTCCTAAACACTATACTCTTATAGTTTCCTGCTTGCCAATCATCTTCTCTCTCTTTTGATTTCTCTTTTTCCTCTTGCTGTCCTCTAGAGGTAGATATTCTGAAAAACTCTCTCCGTGACTCCCTTCTCTTACTATTTTCTTTCTCCTTTGATAATATTATCCATACCCACAACACCAACTCTGGCCTCTGTGGAAGCAGAGGTATCCCACTGCTATGTCTCTAAACTCTCTCTTGGTCTACAATGATTTGCTAGAGTTCAGAGCTTCTTAAACTTTTTCTACTTGCGACCCATTCAGTGCTTTTGATGACCCACAGGTTAAGAAATGCTGTAAGATGACCTGGGGCACCCCAATGTCAACATGGCCCAAACTAAAGAAAGAAGTTCTGCCCATTCACCCCCAATTCTGTTAATGAGATGAACAACCTCTCAGACACGCAGACTGGAAATTATTGGCATTATCTTTGGATATGGCCAAAAAGGGAGAAAGAAGAGGCATAAATCCTGTTGATCTTTCTCTGAAATCTTTGTCACAACCACCCCATCCTTTTCATTTTCATTTCCACTAGAGCAGGCCCTCACTACCTTTCCTCTGGACTAGTACAATAATCCTCTTAACCAGTTTCCCAGACTCCTATCTCAGCACCTCCAATCACTGCCCAATGAATCACAACAACAACTCTATTCATCTTATTTCCTTCCATAAATAAGCATCAATAGGTCTCCACTACCTCCCTTAACTTTAGAAGCCCACTTCCTAGCTCAAAATGCTTACCCTATCACACAGTACTCACACAAGGAATGCACTAACTTCCCTCCTCTCCCACACCTAGATTCAACCTATCCTTTGAAAGTCTACCTGTTACCCCCTCTTCCAATGTATAGCAACACAAATATCTCCTTTAAGAACTTTTCTTGGCTTCAAGTGCCTCCACCACCACCAGCCAGAAGCAAGCGCCTCCTTTTCTGAACTCTCATAACAATCTGTACCTCTCCTATATCTGTATTACATCTAATTGGGATTATAGTAACTGTCTTATCTTCCCTATCAGATTCTCAATCTTCAAGGAAGTTACAATGATTAGGCACAGAAATGTTTACCGAACTGAATCTACTACCACTGAATTGATTTTTAGAAAACACAAGAAGCAAGGATTGTGTCTTATGCTTTTTTGTAGCCTTCACATGATTAGCAATGCCCTAAATACAGCAATCAATCAGTGTCTGAATGAGTCTATGAACATGATGCCTATATCCTACAGCCTCCTAGGGAAATCCTAATTTCGGGCAGTTTCATATGGTCAAGAACAGTTGAGAAGTTGGTAACAGGAGAGCAAAGAAGAGACAAACACATAGGCTAAGAGTCCTAGCCAGTAAAGTCACACTAAAGATTTGAACTCAGTCACTTTCTTCTCATCACTTTCCTCCTAATCAACAAATAAAGTCAATAAGCATTTATTAAGCATCTACCTGTGTGCCAGGCATTATACTAACTCCTGGGGATGAACCGAAAGGCAAAAAACAGCCCCTACTCTCATGGAGCTCACAATCTAATAGAAAAGACAACTTAACCCCATTTCCCCACAATATACACCTGCCTCTTTCCCACCTGTTGTCCTGGTTCACCAAGCTGTCTCTCCAAATCTTCCAGCACAGTTACCACCTCCTCCCCACTCTCTGGATGTTGATCTCTCACCCAGGTCTGCAGGGCCTCTGGCAAAATGGTCAGGAACTGTTCCAGGACCAGCAGCTCTAGAATCTGCTCCTTCGTGTGTATCTCTGGTCTTAGCCACTGATAACAAAGTTCCTGGAGTTTGCTCAGAGCCTCTCGGGGTCCAGGGGTGTCACTGTAGCCAAACTGCCTGAACTGCAGGCGGGAGATCTCCTGGGTGGAAGGGCTGTTCCTCTTCTGGCTGTCTTTCTTCCCCCATAGGTAATCCTCTTCTTCCTCCACCTTTACTTTTACTACTTGAAGTCTCTCTTTCCAGGCTGGATTCTGAGGATCGAGGGCTTCAGCTTCTCTGGATTCTAGAGCCATTTGAGCTTGTTCAGATTTTTAAAACAACTCTATAGGGGCCTGTGCTTCAGAGGGGTTCCCCTTAGGCTACTCTTCAAGGATACCCCTAAGATATAAGAAACCAGAGTTAATGAGTTACTAAATTAAGAGTGCTATTAGAGATCTTAAACAACTTCATGAAGGTCAGCCAGAGGGGGAATTCATCGAACGTAACTCTGACAAAACTTAAACAAGTAATTCCCAAGCAACTGTGGATATTTTCTCTTTGGGGAAATAGAAATATCATGAATTTCTGGGCCCCTTTGTGGTCACCAGGCCTCACTGAGGTCACACTTCAGGTAGTCCCTGTAATGCCACCAAGCAAGCACAAAAGTCCAACAGCCCACCTCGCGCGCCATAACTCACCTACCCCCCATCCCAGTAATGTATCTTTCCCTCTCCCCGCCAGGCCCCCAATACCATTCAGGGCCCAGGAAACACAACTGCCAAATTCACAGACTTCGTACATAACAGCTCTCAGTTGACACAGCGACCTGCCGTCATCCACAACATCTTTGGTCTCCTCAATTGGTTTGTTCCAGCCCACTGCAGGGATACTCCAACCGCGACCCTCCTCTAACCACAGCGACCCTCTCTGCACCTCTGCTTCCACACTACATATCCCGGAACCTCCAGGCCGGGTTTCCGCCCTTCTCTCGGAGATTGAGACAGACGGACCACTGTCAAGCGGTTGCTATAGTGACGGGCTTGGGCGGCACGTGACTCCACCAGAGTCCATGCTCCGCCCCGGCCTGGCTCAACACAAGAGGGCGTAGGTCTACACTACATGGACCCGCTGCAGCCACTGCTACTACTCAAAAGCTCCACTGAGGCTGGGAGCTCAAGTCTCAGAGTCCAGCACAGAACGGAAGCGGGTCACGTCCCCAGAGAACAGCGCCGCCCAGATTGCTGGGAAACGTAGTCCGGAGGCGAAAATGAACGCCCCAGGCCCCGGAGGCTTCTGGGAAGCGTAGTCCAGCGACAGCTCCTACAAGCGTCCATGACATCCTGTGTGCCCCAGCTGGAGATGTTTAAGCCCTTCTCCCTTTAAGGGAATTGTCCTCCTGGAGCTCTGTGTGTTAAGTGAGTCCTGGTTCCTCCACCTAGAAGAGGGGGGCCCCTCCCCCTCCCGCCTCCTTACCTCCTTGCCCACAGGAAGATGGAGGTGGGGAAAGCCTAGGAGCCCCAGGATGGAGTTTGGCGCCGGGAAATCGGGCTGGGCCCGCGCCGGTGACGTCATTGCGGGGGGGGGGGTCCGGGTCGGCCTGGCTAGAGGAGAATCGGCTGCGGCCGACCGTCCGGCCCTTGGCTTCGGCCACTTCCTTGGAGGTGACCCTCCCGTCCGCGCTGCCCAATTCGCGGGGCTCCCTGTGAGCGCGGGAGCAAAGGTCCGCCCCGGTCTTTGTCGGGGCCCAACCGGCCCTGCAGTCCACCGGCTCTCTCCAGGCCTGGGGGCAAGTGTTTACCTAACCTCGTCTTCAGTCCCTGGGGTTAGTTCTTCTGTTCCATTCGCCTTTTTCTGTCTACCCCCCCTCCCATACCAGGCAGCTTTTATACCTATTCCTCTGGGTTACCTTTTGAAATCCAGCAATAACAATAGCTAGTGTTTTAAAATCTGCAAAGAAAGCCCTTTCTAAAGAAATAGTAGCTCTTCTACACCACCACCCTGGACTTATCATCCCCATTTTACAGATCAGAAAACTCAGGCAGACAGAGTTGAAGTGACAGACCAGTAAGTGTCTGAGGCTGGATTTGCATGCAGGTTTTCAGGGCTCCGGGCACTGTCCATCACCCAGATGCCAGGGGGTAGTTATTAGGGAACACCAGCCTTTCCTCACTGTCTGTTTACTTTTTTCTTCTTGAGTCTCTTTCCTACCTACTTTCTGTTCAGGTTAGAGTTGGGAGAGCTGGTTCAGGTGTGGAAGAATTCACTTAGACCTTCTCTTTAGGCGTTGGTGATGAGTTAAGAGTGAACCCCGAGAATGTTGGGGTGCTACCCGAAATGATGAGGAATACACTTGGGGTCCTAGTGTCCAGAAAGAATGAACTCCGACAGTCTCAAGTTGAAGAAAGGCATTTATTGGGGTGATGTACCCAAGTGGGCTTTTTCCCTTAGGGCAGAGCCCCAGTGGGCTTTACTCCCCATGGAAGGCAGAGCCCAGGCCGCTGGCCCTACTCCCCTAAGGGAACAGAGTGGCCCCTGTTTCCCAGTTGGAGGCTAAGGCGGTTAGCCAGGTCAAAGGTATGGTTTAAATACCATTTTATGGAATAGGGGGAAGGGGACAAGAGAATGGGAGGAGCAAGCATGGCTCCAAGATGCCTGGTAGTCCAGAGCTGATAAGCAAAGAGAGCAGAAGAGAGGAGGGGAAGAGTTGTTCAGCACACAGATAAGTCCACAGTGGGGGCTTCAGTGCACAGTCTTCTTTGATCACTTTTCTGGCTGGTCACATCCTGCATCCTGTGTCCCATCTCATGTCCTGCTTGCCCTATCTGCCTCAAGCATTCTTTTCTGCCTCATCACTTTCCATATGAATCTCCTTATGATTCTGTGTAGTAGCCTATTGCTACTATTATGGAGCCCAGAACTAAAACAGAAGGTAGATTGGCAATGGGAAATTTGCTGGGCTTCCTTTTTTGTTGGTCAGTCATTTCTGAATTTTCGTGACCTGGTGGACCATACAGGGTTTTCTTGGCAAAGATACTGGAATGGTTTGTCATTTCCTTCTCCAGAGGATTGAGGCAAACAGGTTAAGTGACTGGGCACTGTGTGCCCAAGAGTCACACAACTAATAAGTGTCTGAGGTCCAATTTGAACTCAGGTCTTCCTGACTCCAAGTCCAGTGCTCCAACCACTTAGCCACCTAGTTGCCTTCTGGGCATCTTTAATGACCCTAAATTCTTGAAATGAAGGGCTGTCTTTTAAATTCCAATAGTCTATTAATGATGTGGTATGGCTTCAACTTTTAGAACCCCAGAGTTGCCCAGGAATTAAACCTAGTTTATCACCCATAAGGATGATATTGACTTGATGACCTCTAAGGAACATTTCATGTCAAAATTATTAATCTTCTGAATTTGTGTTCTTGCATCTATCAAACACTATAACAGTTCAGTGCAATTGTTTCTCACTTTTCCTTATCTAGTTTTTTCCACCAAACTAAATGTCCATTGTTTAAACTTCACCAAATACTGTTTTATAGTAAAACTTGAGGTTTGTAAATGCTATTATCCTTTCATTCTTGCTTTGTTTCCCATTGTTTCCTTTGAGATTATAGACCTTTTGATCTTCCAAATGAATTTTATTTCTAGTTCTATAATTTATGTCCTTTGCAGTTTGATTGGTGTAGAAGGACATCTGTAAATTAATTTGGCTAGTATTATCATTTTAATTATGTAGGCACATTTCAAGCCTGAACATTGAATGTTTTTCCAATTATTTTAGTCATTCATTGAAGTAAAGGATATCATCGATGGAATGTATTGCTGAAAACCAAGGCTGGCTGGTCATGTGGGAAAAGAGAATGTAATATTATTAGGGGTCAAAGAATAAATCATAGAAACAATAATTATATAGAAAAAAGATGATGATAAACAACATACCAAAATTTCTGAGATGTACCTAAAGCAGTCCTCAGGGGAAAGATTATATCCCATCAAACATACATGAACAAAATAGAAAAAGAGAAGATTTAAAGGTTTAAAAATTAGAAAGCTACCAAATAAACAAACCTCAGATAAACACAAAAGAAGAGATATTGAAAATTAGAGAAGAAATACACAAGAAACAAACCAAAAAAAACTAGAAATGAATCTTTTTTTTATTTTTAGATACTAATAAACTTCATAAACCTTAAGCTAATATGATTTAAAAAAGGGCAGAAAATCAAATCAACAAATTAACAAATGAGGGAGGTAAAATCACAGTAAAACCAGAAGAAATTTTTTAAAATTCTTAGAACTTATCAAAGAGTTGTGATAAGTTGTGACAAAACTGAGATCACAAAAGAAATAAAATACCTTTGAAATATATAAACTATTCAAAATAACAGATAATCAAATAGAGATCTTAAATAATCCAGTATCAGAAAAGGGAAATGAGCTTGCTGTAAAGTAACTACCAAAGGGGGAAAAAAATCCTACTACTTATGGATTCACTGGAGAGCTCTATAAAAATTCTAAAAAAAAAATTGAGACACAAAATTATTACACAAAATATTTTCCAAAAATAGAAAAAGAAAGCACCCTACCAGAATCTTTTTATAAGCCAAATATATGAGACAAATATCTAAACCATGGAAGGATAAAATACATGAGAATTATAGACCAATGTCATTAATATAGATTTTTTAAAAACTTTTAAATAAAATCCTCTCCGACTATGGCACTTTATCCAAGAAATCATTCATTATGATCAAGCTGAATTTTTACTATGGATATAAGGAAAATAACACAATCATATTAAAAACAAAAAGAACCAAAGCTACATCATTATTTTAATAGATGTAGAAAAGGCCTTTAACAAATGGAACAGTAATTTATGCTGAAAAAAAAAAGGAAAGTATAGGCATGGAGAGACTTTTTCAAAAATATTATAAGTATCTAAAACTAAAAGCAAGTTTCTTATGCAAAGGGGAAACAGAACTTTTTCCAAAAAGTATAGAATTAAATCGAGGTTGTCCACGCTTCCCACTATTATTTGATATAGTTCTGGAAATGCTATCAATAACAATAACGAGAGAAAAAAATAAAGGTGTAAAGATACGTCAAGACGAGATAAAACTGCTTATTTGCTGATGATTTCGTAGTTTACTTGGAAAATCTTAGGAAATTAGCAAAGATACTAATAAAAAAATTAATAGCTTTAGCATAGTTGCAGGATACAAAATAGACCCCCCAAAATCAACTGCCTTTCTATATGATAACAATCCAAAAATAATAGAGAAAGAAATTCCATTCCAAATAACTATAAAGTGCATAAAATAATCTGGGAATCAATCTACCAAAAACACGAAAGATTTCTATCAATTCAGTTACAAAATGCTACTTCAAGAAATTTAAAACAAATTAAACAGTTGAAGGAATATCTAGTGCTCATGACTGGGCCATGCCAATGAAATAAAAATAACAATGATACCAAAGTCAATTCATATATTTAGTGCTATACCAATCAATTACCAGAGGTGCTTTTTAGAACTTGATAACATAATCACAAAATTCATTTGAAAAATCCAAAAGATCTAGAATATCAAGGGAAATAATAAAAAGAGGTAGGCACTATGGAGAAAACACTTTATTATATGTTAATATGGTTTGAACCTAGCTTTATGTGGCTAATATTGTTTAACCCAGACTGTTAGGTGGAAGTCATGATAAATAAAGAGACCCTCCCAGGGAGCAGGAAGATCACTGTAAGGAATACTTGAATCCCACCCAGGACTTGTTTTGGGCAGACCCATGTGTTGAATCCCATGTTTTGGGTCCATCCAATATCCTGTGTTTTGGCGTTGCCTAAGTTTTATTGAATGTTCATACTTACCTGCATGCATCTCACACACACACACACACACACACACACACACACACACGAGACTTAACAGAGATTGGGAGAGAATGACCCACACCTGTTTCTGGCTCTCCCCTCTGCTAAACCAACTTCAAAAAATCCTTTCTACAAACCTGTTTAGGTTTCAGGGTTTCCTGTGGACTGACAGGGCAAAGGATGTATAGCACTTCCAAATCTCGAACTATATTAAAAAGCAGTGGTCATCAAAATCATCTGGTATTGGTTAAAAAATAGGTCCAGTATGTCCAAAACAGAGCTCATATTTCCCTCTAAACCTTACCTCCTTCCAACTTTCCCTGTCACTTTAGAGGTAACACCATCCTTCCCATCCTTCAGGCTCATCCAGGATGTCATCCAGGATTCCTTACTATCTCTGAGCTCCAACCCACCCCCATGCGCGCACAGACACACACACACACACACACACACACACACACACACACACACACACATGCACACGCGCGCGCGCACACACACACACACACACGCTGCTGCCTCTGCAACATTTCTTCACTATGTCCCCTTCTATCCTCTGATACTGCCACCACCCTAGTGCAGGCCCTTATCACCTCATGCCTTGATTATTGCAACAGTCTGCCTGCCTCAAGTCTCTCCCCACTCCAATCTATTCTCTATTCAGCCACTAAAGTAATTTTACTAAAATCCAGATCTAATTATGTCTCTCCCCTACTTAGTAAACTCCAGTGGCTTCCTATTGCCCCCAAGAGCAAATGCAAAATGTTCTGTTTAGCATTCAAAGACCTTCATAACCTAGCCCCCTCTTACACCTTATTCCCCAACACAAACCCTTCCATCCAGTGACACTGACTTCCTAGTTATTTCACAATCAAGATATTGCATCCATCTCCGCTCCAAGCATTTTTTCTGTCTGCCCCCCATGCCCAGAATGCTCTCCCTCTTCTGCTCCAACTAGCTTCTTTAAGCCCTAACTAAAATTTCATCTTCCACACAAAGCCTTCCCTAAACCTTCCTAACTCCAGTGCTTTTCCTTTTATAATTCCTTCCTATTTATCCTATATATAACTTGCTTTGCATATGTGTGTTTGTATGTTGTCTTCTTCCATTAGATTGTAAGCTCCTGAAAAGCAGGGGCTCTCTTTTGCTCTGTGTATGTGTATATGTATGTGTATGTTTATGTGTGTGTGTGTGTGTGTGTGTGTGTGTGTGTGTGTCCTCAGACCTTAGCACAATGCCTAGCACATATAGGACTTAAATGTTTATTGAATTCAATTGAGGTAGATCAATGGAACAGACTACACAAGGCAGAATCAGAAACAATGGAACTCAATAATCCAATGTTTGATAAACCAGAAAACAAAAATTACCTAGGAAATAACTCCCCATTTGACAAAAGCTGCTGGAAAAACTTAAAAGCAGTATGGCAGCAAATAGGGTCAGACCAACAACTTACACCATATTCAATAATATATTACAACTAAATAAACTACCTAAATATTAAAAATCTTACCATAAAAAATTTTTCGAAAAAAAGCAGATCATATACCTCTCACAGCTATGGGTAGGAGATGTATTCTTTTTATTATTCTTTTTTTTATTATTATTATGGGAGAGCCAGGGAAATGGCTAATCTTTTATTGAAGGGAAGAAAACATTACAACACATCTCAAGTAAACCAGTCCAGGGACTCAGTGGCTAAACTGGTGGGGTACCAGCTTGTAATGGGTTCCACAGTTAGGGCAACGCTGTATCTCGCCTTTGTGAAGCCAGAACCAGATGACTGCACTGTTGTCCTCTTCACAGACACAGCCCACTATTCGCTTGTCAGTGATGGAAGGGACCAGGTTGGGTTCCTCCTTAGTCCCTGAAGCTGCCTTTGGGGCTAAGATATTGTATGGATCCAAATCATCCCTTGCTGCAATCATAATCTCTCTCTCCAAGCCAGTAGCCTGCTCTTCATCAGAAGGGATACCTCCTCCAGTCGCCATGGAGGGAGCGGCAGCCCAGGCAGGACCACAGGCCCTCAAGGCCTGGACTGTCAGCGCCCAGGTGCCCTGCAGTAACCTTGAAGCCATTGCGTCTGAGACAACTGCAAACCTAGGAGATGTATTCTTAACCAAATAAAGACAAAGGCAATTACAAAAGATCAATTAGATAACGTTACTCACATTAAAAAGTTTATGCACAGACAAAATTAATGCACCCAAATAAGAAAGGAAGCAGTAAAATGGGGTACAAAATCTTTGTATCAAATTTGTCCGACAAGGGTTTTGCATCTAAGATATTTAAACAATTTATATATGTAAATAAACCATTTATGTATATATATATATATATGTGTATATATAGTGTGTGTGTATACACACATACACACATATAAAATCAAAAGCCATTTTCCTAACAGATAAATAGTCAAAGGATATGAAGAAATAGTTCTCAAGAAGACTGCAGAGTATTCACAGTGACATAAAAGAATGCTCCAAATCACTCATAATAAAAGAAAAGGAAAATCAAAATCAAGATTTCACCTCACCCCTTGCAAATTGGCAAAGCTAACAAAAGATGGTGATGGTCAATATGCAAAGGGTTTTGGGAAAAGAGGCACATTGGTACATTTTGATAGAGCTATATAAATCAGTAAAAACCATTTTGGAAAGCAATTAAAAGTAACCAAAATGTCCGTATCATTTGACCTAGAGATTCTATTAATGGGCTTATATATCCTAAGGAGGCCATTGATAAGAAGAAAGTTCTCATATATACCAAAATATTTATACCAGCATTTTTTGTGATAGCAAAGAATTTGAAACAAAGTAGTTGCCTATCAATTAAAGAATAGCTAAACAAATTGTGGCATATAAATGCTTTAGCAAATAATGTATGTGGTGACTACAGAGAAGCATGGAAAGGTCAACATAAACTGATACAAAAATGAAGTAAGCAGAGCCAAGAAAATAGTATACAAAATGATGACAATAATGTAAATAAAACAACTATACACACAGACAGACACACACACACATACACACACACGAGGTGAATGTTGCAAAATTATAAATAACTAGCATGACTTAAGAGACATGAGGAGGTACCCCCAATCTACCCATCTACAGAAGTCGGAGGTACATAAGTGTGGTTGGTGGTGGTTAAGTCTTTTCAGTCTTGTCAGACTCTCTGTGACCCCATTTGGGGTTTTCTTGGCAAAAATACTGGAGCAGTTTGCCATTTCCTTCTCCAGTTCATTTTACAGGTGAGGAGATGGAGGCAAACAGGGTTAAGTGTCCAGGGTCACACAGCTTGTAGGTGTCTGAGGCCAGATTTGAACTCATGAAGATGAGTCTTCCTGACTCCTGGTCTGGTGATCTATCTACTGCACCCACCTAGCTGTCCTGTAAGTGTGACACATTGCACATATTTTCACATATTTTTGATGTATTAATTAGTTATGCTGATTTTTTCCCTCTTTTTTATTTAAAAATATCTGTTATGTTGGATGGCTCTCTAGGAAAGAAAAGGGAGGAATACTAGAGGAAATTATGGTGATATTATAGGTAAAATTATTAATAACAATTTTTAGATAAAATTATTAACTACTGAGTTGTAGGAAAGTTTTTTACTTCATTGTTTGAATCTAGCCTTGCATAACTAGGAACCAGACAGGTATTGCTTAGAGACAAACTAGTTTAATATTTCACTTAGGATTCCAGTTCATACTGACCCCAGAAAACTTCAGGGGATCCACAGATTGGAAGTTCCAGTTCTTTTCTGGTTTCCTAAGAAATGTATTTTAATTAATCTGTATAAAGTTGAATTAATCTATATGTCTTATTTGGAACACATTTATTATGTATTAACAAATCAGCTACCAATTTGCTCCTTTGTTTGAGTACTATATCATATGCAACTCTTAGAGGTTCAGGGGGAGTAAGCCACCTATTTCAGCTCTTCCCTCTGCTGGATGTCTTAATAAACTTCTTCCTAAATTAATTTTGTTCAGGAAAATTTTGTTCTGAACTCACACTGATCAAAATAAAAGACATAAGTAAAAAAAATTATTAAAAAATGAAAAAGCCCTTGCACACTAGATGGACTATGAGTACTAGACAGAGCAAATTGTACATACTCTCCAGAACAGACCTTCATTGGCAAGTACTACCTCCCTCTCTTTTAGACAGATTGAAGGGAGACTGCAGAAGATCAAGAAGATTGTATTTTATCCTACCAACTAGTTTGTTTTGTTTAAGTAGGGGAGTGACGTAGTCAGTTCTGTACCTGAAAATTATTACTTTGACAATTGGATGAAGAACAAACTGAAAAGGGAAGAGACTGGAAGGGAGCCTAGTCAGAATGTTATTACAATTTTTAACTGGGGTGGGGAACATGTGGCCTTCAAGCCCTTGGGTGCAGCCTTTTCACTGAGTCCAAGTTTTACAGAACAAATCTTTTTAGTAAGGAGATTTGTTCTGTGAAGTTGGGATTCAGTCAGAGAGCCAAGACCTATGGGGCCACATGTTGACTGGAGTCCGCAGGTTCTCCACCCATGGTAGGACCAGTGGTTTCCAAACCTTTTTGATTTGCTCTATCAATTTAAAAAAAAAGTTCATTACTAATAAAATTAATGAAAAGAAGTCAAATTGAAAACAAATCTTTGTATCAAATTTCTCAGATAAGGGTTGGGTAGGTATCCAAGATATAAAGTCAACTGACAGAACATATAAGATCAAAAGTTATTCCCCAATGGATAAGTCAGCAGTTTTCAAAGTGTGAGACCTGTCAAGGGGTATGAAAGATTAAAACTATTTTCATAATACTGCTATGATATTTTAATTTCTAATATAATAATGACACATAAAACTCACATCAACTGAAGCTCATTAGGGATCCTCAATAATTTTCAAGAGTGTAAATTAGGTCAACAAGTTTCAGGACCACTACGAAAAGTGATCAAAGGTTAAGAATAAATGTCGTCAAAACAAGATTGCAAACTGTTAACCAAATGGATAATTGCCACAAATCACTTAAACAGGAGAAATATAAATCAAAATGACCTTGAAGTTTCATCTCACACCAGGCAAACTGGCAAAATTAGCAAAAAATGAGAACAGTTGATTTTGGAGGAGTCACAGAAATAATGCATTGTTGGTGGAGCTATGGATTACTATAACCACTCTGGAAAGCAACTGCGAATTATGCAATTAAAGTGACTACACTGTCCATACCCTTTAATCCAGAGGTATATGCTAGGATATACCCCCCCGAAAGTCATTGATAAAAAAGATCCATATACACCAGAATATTTATAGCCAATGTTCCTCATGCCTGCAATTCATTTTCTTTCTTCATCTCCAACTACTCACTTTCTTAGCTACCTTGAAATGCCAGCTTAAATCCCACCTTCTACAAGAAACCTTTCCCAATCCCCCCTTAATGCTACTGCCTTACCTAAATTGATTAGCTCCAGTTTATTCTGTATATATTTTGTCTGTATCTAGAAGCGTTTATGTTGTCTCCTTCATTAGACTGTGCACTCCTTGAGAGCAGGGACTTTTTTTTTTAAATCCCCAAAACTTAGCAGAGTGCCTGGCACATATTAAGCCCTTAATAAATGCCTGTTGACTGTTTATTGACTCACAAACAACTAGAAACAAGGGAGATGTCCATCTGTTGAGGAATAGCCAAACAAATTACGGTACAGGAACATTCTAGAATATCGGTGTACTTTAAGAAACAACAGATATGATGAATACAGAGGCATGGAAGGACTTACATGATCTGATACAAAGTAAACCAGAACCAAGAAACACCATGTAAGATGACTATAACTATGTGAACGGAGAGAACCATAACAACTCTATTTTAAAATGGAAAAATATATTTAGCTTGCAGGCTATACAGAAACAGGTGGCAGGCCAGATTTGGCCCTTGGAGTGTAATTTGCTGCACCCTGCATACGCCAATGAGGTTGTATTGATTCCAGCCAAATTCTAGGTTATATTTTTAAAAGAATGGTTTATGACCATTTAGAAATGAAGGCAGTAATGAGGAGGAGCCAGAATGGCTTCACTAAGAACAAGACATACCTTTTTTAACAAGGGGCAGCAAGGTGGTGCAGGGGAACAGAGTGCCAGTCCTGGAGTCAGGTAGACTTCAGTCTAAATCCAGCCTCTGACATTTACTAGCTGGGTGACCCTAGGCAAGTCATTTGACCCTGTTTGCCTCAGTTTCCTCATCTGTAAAATGAGCTGGAGAAGGAAATGACAAACCACTCCAGTATCTCTGCCAAGAAAACCCAAAAAGGGGTCACAAAGAGTCAGTCATGACTGAAATGACTGGACAACAACAAATGAAGTGAAGGATGGACAGGTAACATAAGTAGATTTCAGTAAATGTTTAACAAAGTGATTCATTTACACAAAAAGAAAGGTAAGAGACTGCATGAGAGCAGTTTGGGGGAGCCCAAAGAAGCTGAATGACCTGACCCAAAGAATAATAATGAATGGGTTACTATCACCTCGGACAGGGACTCACTCCAGGAGAATGTCAGATGCTGTTCAACATCTTTGTTATTGAGTACATACATACTCATTTATCTATCCTCCCTGCCCACCCACCCAGGTGTGACCTTAGGTTACTAGTAAAATAACTTTACTGCTTCTGTGTTCTCACCCCATCTGGGGTATGAGGTATTTGGTAATCAAGTCCAAACTGTTCCAACATTAAAGTTCCTCTGAGGTGACTGCAATTGGGGAACTGTTCTTCATAATGACAACACTTATTTTGCTGTCCCCTCCCAAAGTAATCCCTCCACAGCTTGAGATCATTCTAGAACACACCAAACCCATTCTACTAGCATTTATTAAGCACCTACTATGTGCCAGTTACCATGAATACAAAAACAAACAAAACAGTTCTGCCCTCCAGGAGCCCATTCTTACTCTCCATAGTTTGAATGTATGCTCAGGCTTGACTTGCTTCAGTCCTGCTTTGTGCTGATTGGCACAGCAATGGGTCCGAGGCAAATATGGCCTCTTTTCTTCTGGCCGTTCTACTCAAGATCATTTCTTTGAGGTTTTTTAACTGAATATGATAGCCGTACAGCTGTGTTGCTAACCCTACATGGAATTTACATTGTTATTGATTGTCATTCATAGCTGTAATTTTTTTTCAAGGATTTACCTGTTGAAGTTATTTCTGGGTGCTTTGCCTATCAAAAGTGTCAAGGAAAGCTGGCTTTTTCCAGTAGAGATTCTTAGTTGTAGGTGTTCTGAAAACCCATTTTTAGGGGTAAGGGAACCTTTAATAGTAGGTGCAGTTTAACTAAATAGTGCAAGTGGTCTTGGGCTAAAGTGCAGTTTTCCTTGATTTTTTATATATAAATTTAAACTGCCTGGTCTCATTTTAGGTAAAAAATTGTGTGCAATTCAAATTGGTGTTCCTTGATAGGTGACTGTTTACTGATTATCAGCTTGGAATACCATCTCTTGTTCTGTTAGCAGTCTCATATGCTGTCCATCCCTCTTCCAATGATTCTGAGAAACTTACTTACACAATTACTTTTTTCTTTTTTTCTCTTTTTTTTACATTTTGGGGAGAGTACAATGAAATGGGCAGCAGACTCTATGGCACTATTCTCGAGGGCCTGAAACCTGTCACACAATACTAGTAAAATTAAACCTCAGCTGTACAAAGTTCTAGTTACAGATGGCTGCTGAAACTCTTCCACAAACTTGCTGAGGCTGCAGTTGTAATTCTACCTTTCTCACCCTGAGTTGGCCTTCCTGGTTAATTTTTAGAAACCCCTACTTTTGCTACTGGTCCATGTTCCCTGACCCTATCACCCCAGCAGCAGTGTGACAGCTGCCCCAGCAGGCACTTTATCTGGAGACCTTATATAAACCCAGGCCCTCAGAGGTAATATGCCTCTGACCAGGACTCATATTTGCTTCTCTGAGCCACCACTTGGCAAGCTGCCCTAATCTAGTATGGGGCATAATTTTGGAAGTGAGAGAGCTGACCAGGGACTCCATCTGTGAGTGAATTGCTATTAATCTGCCCAAACCTTTCTATGATGTACTGGGCTGAGTCATAAAACATTTTAATACATCCTGGGGTTGCATTCAGCAGAACTCACCCAAAATTTGCATGACAACAATGATTTTTAAATTTTGTAAGCTGAATATTCCAGTTGTCATCTGTTTGTAAAGTTGGAAATGAGTATCATGGTATAAGAAAAGAGCAAAAAAGAGATAAGATTGGAGTCTACAAAAACCACATGGGAGCTTGACTTATTCCTAACAATATTCTGAAACACTACTAAAGAGAGAGTTTCCAAGCACTGAAAATGAGTAAGATCATTAAAAGCCATTAAAAGCTTTATCAAGAATAAAAAACACAATCTTGCCAGCGTAAGCTCACTGCCTCTATTGAAGGTAACTAGACTTGTAGATCACAGGAATAGTGTAGATGCAATTTACTGGAATTGCTGGATTTGAGCAAAGCATGTAACAATGGTTCTCATGTTATCTTTGGCAACAAGATGGATAGGTAAGAGTTATGTAATAGTAAGTCAAGTGGATCTGACCAACTCAAAGAGGAGCCATTAATGGATCATTAGCTTGGAACGGAAGGTCCATTGGACGGTCTCAGTTATCTGTGCTTTACTTTAAATTCTTCAACATTGTTGTGAATACTTTGTAACAAGACATGGAGGCTATGTTTCTGAAATTTCTAGATGGCAGAGGAATAGCTAACTGTTGGGTGACAAGAGTTAGTTTAGACAGGATGTGATTGTGTTGGAATACTGCTGTGATATAGGAAATGATGAGCTGGTCGATTTAGAAAAAAGCATGAAAAGACTTGGCCATATGAACGAAGATGCTATCCACCTCCAGAGAAAGAGATGACAAGTAGAAATATGCATAGTACTTATATGTATATGAGTGTATATGTGTATGTTTATACATATCTATGTAGGGTTGAGGGTGTGTATCTATATCTATATATATATATATATATATATGTATATGTATATAGGTGTTGAATTGTAGCCTTTCTTTATGGAGGGGGGGAGGAAGGGAGCAAAGAAAAGCTGGGTAGCTTTGAAGACAATGTGTACTATTAATTATATAGGTTTTCTTGAAGTGAAAATTTATAGTTTTGTACTGAATCTTCTCTTATGTTCTGCTATGTACATGGAACTGTTCTCTTTTTTTCTTTTCTCATTTTGCATTTAAGTTTAAAATGAATAAAAAATTTATGAAATAAATAAAAATAAAATATGTATCATACCATTTTATGCCCAGGAGCTAGATTAAATACTTTTTAGGATTAAACTATCCTCTCTCCTATCTCATCCCTAGGCCTCACAGTTCTTATTGTACAGTCCAGCTGCCACCAACCCACCATCAAAACACCATGGTGCTTCCTTCTAGTTCTATAGCGACTGAGGATTGGGGCCACAACCCTTTAATGTTTTAGTCTTTTTATTTTGTCCCACTGCTTCGAATTTTCATGTCCTGGACAGGGACTAATGATATGGCTTAATTGGTCTAAAAGAAATATTTCTACATCCAGAGACTGCTGACCGTTCCATCACAAAATGGCTGATGCCATTTCCCTAAGTTAGTGGAAGGGATGCTTGCCCCTTGTCCATTCTCCACACCTGAGCTCCTGACTGATCAGTTGACACTGTATCCACGCTGGTGGCCTGTCCTAGAGCTGCACAGTTCCTCCAATAACAGTTACCAAAGCATCCTCTTCCAAATTCCCAGGGCTACATCCCCCTATATGGTGTCATAAAGCAGGACGTATTGAAGAGCAGTAACATATTCTGATGTTGGGAAACAATTCAAGTTAAAATACAGACACACACACACATATCCTAAGACTACTTCTTCTACCTTGTTCAAAGAATGGATATAGGTAAGCTTTTATGGGAGGCTATGGAAAGGAGGCCACAAAGGAAAAAAATACTGGATGGCCAACAAAAATAAACATGTGCTCACAACACATACATGCACACAGCATACCGATGCACCCACTCCTCTGTAGCAACAGCTTTCAGGGCACTGACTGATCACAGAAAGGTGCAAAGTAAAATCTCTTTCCAACACTATAGTTGGAAAAGTCTAGAAAGTCACAAATCAGGAGAAAAATGAAGTCAAGCCAAACCTACAGCACTGTGGAAAAATGGGACTTTCAGGGACCAAGAAGCTGAACAGCATCTTCTCTGCCTTCTCAGGGGCCAGAAAGGCCTAAAGTATCCATAGACTAGGTACCTATTCTAAGAACTCTGCCAGTAACTGCTCTTCTAAATCATGGTTTTTCAGCACTAACACGAGAGAAAACAGGAAATACCTTAACCACTCTCTCTAAAGAATATGTAGGGAAGTGAGATGTCCTAAAAGGGCCAGATAGACTGGTGTGTAGTTCTCAGCACAGAGACCTCAAGGCCTGAGTGCTCATGATTCAAGGTGACTTCTGGCTAAGGGAAGAAGGGGGGAGGGGGTGGTAGTGGTAATCATTAACTGACATCAGGACTACTATTACGCTGAACACTCTTTCTACCTGCCTCAGGATCCAGTCTCTTCTTCCCAGATAGAGACCAAAATGACTGTGAACCATAAATAGTTGCCATCCTACTGTCCTCTAGGCCAGTAACTATCTACTTAGACGTTCTTAAAAAGTTTTCCTCAGTACATTTCAGAGAACTCAGATGCCTACATTATACATCCTAAAAAGGGGCACTGACCACCCAAATCTTCACTGATCCCTTGAAGTACGATCTTTATTTTCCTGGGATATGAATTCCATCCTTTCTAAAGAGGCAAAAGCATGTACTCTTCCCCTTACAAGATAACAATTGACAACAGTAACAGTAAATACTTTAAGTAACAAATAAAAAGAAACATAGATTAGTCAATCACAAAAGAAACCTTAAGAAAGGTTTCATAGGCACCAGGAACTCAGTTGACAGCCATACACAGTAATACAAATACAGGCTCTGCCCTTGAGGACCTCACAATTACTTTATGGGATTTTGATCCCCGGCTGAATTTTGTGAGATTAAGTAACAGCAAAGTTGTCTGAAGATTCCTCACATTGAAATTCTCCACACGGTTAAACTCTGGTGTGTACTCTCTGATGTGTCATAAGGCCAGACCTATGCCTGAAGACTTTCCCACATTCTTTACATTCATAGGGCTTCTCTCCAGTATGAATTCTCTGATGTTGAGTAAGAGCTGAGCGTTGATTGAAGGCTCTCCCGCATTCATTACACACATAAGGTTTCTCTCCAGTATGAATTCGCTGATGTTGAATAAGTGAAGAGTTCTGGCTGAAGGCTTTCTCACATTCCCTACAGTGATAGGGTTTTTCTCCAGTATGAATTCTTCGATGTTGAACAAGGTGTGAGCTCCTACGAAAAGCTTCCCCACATTCACTACATTCATAGGGTTTATTTCCAGCGTGAATCCTTTGATGCTGAATAAGGTCTGAGCTCCCCTTGAAGGCTTTCCCACATTCACCACAAGTATAGGGCTTCTCTCCTGTATGAATCCTTTGATGCTTCTTAAGATCAGAGCCTTGACTGAATGCTTTCCCACACTGAGTACATTTGTGGGGTTTCACTCCCATATGAATTCTCTGATGCTTTCTAAGATCTGAGTTCTGTTTAAAAGTTTTCTCACATTTGTTACACTCATAAGGTTTCCTGACAATTTGATTGTTTTGATGCACATCTGAAAATGAATTCTGTCTGGAGTTTTGGTGATTTCTAGCAGATATATGGGGTTTCCGTACTCTATGTATAACTGGATCTGAGTTCAAATAACAACTACTCAGACACTCATACTTATGGCTACTCTCTTCTACGGCAACTTTTTCAGGGATGGTCACTACCATAAAATTTCCATCCTGGGAAAGGGATCTGTCTTTCTCCATTTTGTTTCCCTGCTGCTTGTCTAAAGGGCTTTCACATTCATAGGCTTCTCCAATCTTGGCTCCTTTGGAAACATCCACTGGGAATCTTCCAGATATCCCCTCCTGTAACTCCACTTCTTCAGAAAATTACTGCTTTGGAACAGACCACTTGGTCCTAGTCTCAAAATCTGAAATGATCAACAGAAAATACAAATGTCATGTGTGCTGGAAGAAAGGAACCTTCCTAAAAGGAATATTAACAAGGGTTCACATCTCCAAGTCCTCTGTATACATTATCTGTTGTGGTTATTACAACCATCCTTTGAATAAGCAGGAAGTATGATTATCCTATTTTTACATATTAGGAAAGCAAGGATAAGAGAGGGAGAAGATCAGAGATTTAGAGTGGGAAGGCTCTTTCAAGGCAATCTATTCCAACATCCTCTCTTATAGATGAGGAAACGGGCCAAGAGAGATTAAATGAATAGATAAACATCACATAGTTAGTGGGTTGTGGAGCTGGGACTAAAATGTAGATTCTAAATCCATCACCATTTCAATGAAGTCACATTGCTCTTAGAAAAAGAATAGTCAAAATTTAATTATATGCTGTGCAAGATATGCATGTAGTCTATACATGTTTCAGTGAGCTTTCACAAACAGTATCCCAATCTAGAGGAAATGGTAACAGGAAACAAGACTGAAAACACAGATGCCAAGTGAGGGAGGCAGCAAGAGGTATGTGGCAGAGAGGACAAGGTAGCACAAAAAGTGAACCAGTCTATGACACTAAGAAAGAAGAGACAAATCAGAGAACTGAGGAAGCCAAAGATAGAGGGAATGGTCTCATATATAAAATATTTATAACAGCACTTTTTATTATAACAAAGAACTTGAAGGAAGTGGGAGCCCATCACATGAGGAATAACTGAAGAAACTTCGGTATATGAAAATAAAGGAATATTATTGTGCCATAAGAAATTATCAATATGAAGCACTCAGAAAAGCTTGAGAAGCCTTTTATGAACAACAGTTCATTAAGAATGCAGCAAACTCCAGAGCACAATTTATACGATCACTATCACGTAAATGAAACAGTGTTGAACGATTTCAGAACTCTGAGCAGTGCAGTGATCTGACTTCAGAGGACAGCTGGCAAGACATGTGTCTCTCAGCAGAGCCTGGCAAATTATAGATATGTAATGAGCCCTATATTGTCATGCAAGGCCAATGTATGTGTCTTGCTCATCTGTACATTATAAGTTACAAGGGGGGGTTGGGAGTGAAGGAATTGGGAACTGAGTGTGATGAAAAAAGATTGCTCAGTTGTGTCTGACTCTTCTTGACCTCATGTGGGGTAGATACTGGGTAGTTTGCCATTTCCTTCTCCAGTGGATTAAGACAAACAGAGGTTAAGTGACTTGCCCAGGGTAACACAGCTAATAAGTGTCTGAGGCAAAATTTGAATTCGGGTCTTCCTGACTCCAGGTCCAGCACTCTATCCACTAAACCAGCTAGCTGCCTCTAATTTATGTTACATAACCTCAACTGGGCCCTCACTACACCAAGGCATTCCTTGTGAACCTCCTAAATCAATTCACTATCCCACTCACAGCAGCACCACTTCTAAAACTATTCATCCCTCCTCAAACTTCCAATGACTCCCAGTCCCTAACTCCCTCAACTGAAAACCCCGCCCTATATTTCAATGAAAACATTGAGGCCATTTGTCAAGACCTCCTTCTTTTCCCCTCCCTCTTCCTCTCAGATCAGTCAGAGGTCTTCTACCATTAGCTTTACTCGTGGCTCTCTTGAAGAGACAGCACTTCTACTCACCAAGGCTCACCCCTCTACCTGCTCAAGGGATCCCATTCTTTCCCATCTCCTCCAACAGACTGCCCCCTCTGTCATCCCCACTCCATCACTTTTCTTTATCTTTCCCTGGCTTTAACCTTCCGGCTGCTTCTCTACTGCCTACCAACATGTCCACATCTCTTCTGTCCTCAAAAAGCCTCACTGACATGTCCATTCTCACTAGCTACCACTCTCTATTTTTCCTCCCTTTCCTGGCTAACCTCCCTGAGATGGTTTTTTACACTAGGTGCTTCCACTTCCTTCCCCATCACTCTCTCTCTTTTTACCTCTCTGTAGTCTGGCTTCTGACTTGATCATTCAACTGAAACTGCTTTCTCCTAAGTTACTAACAATCTCTGAATTGTCAAGCCTAATGACCTTTCTGAACTTCATCCTTCTTGAACTCTCTATAGCCTGTGACAATGTCAATCATCCTCTTCTCTTTCACATGCTTCTCTCCAAGTTTCATCCACACTTCTCTCTCCTGGTTTTCCTCCTGACTGTTCCTTCTCAGTCTCCTTCACTGAACATTTGTCCAGGCCATCACTAATTATAGGTGTCCCCCAAGGCTCTGTCCTGTGACCTCTTCTCTTCTCTCTCCATACTATTTCTCTTGGTGATCTTATCAGCTCTCATATACTCAATTATTATCTCTAACTGGATGATTCTCAGATTTAACTAGCCAGCCCTGATCTCTTTCCTGAACTTCAGTAGCTCATTTCCAACTGCCAATTAGACATTTTAAACAAAACGTTCCATAGACATCTTAAGCTCAAAATGTCCAAAATTGGATTCATTATCATTCCCCCTAAATCCTCCATTCTTCCTAACTTCATTGGTACTACCCAAAGCACCCCCTTCCCAGGCTCAAAACCTAGGGGTCATCCTGGACTCTTCATTCTCTCTCACTTTCCTATCAAAAGAGCTATCAGGGGCAGCTAGGTGGCGCAGTGGATAGAGCACCAGTCCTGAAGTCAGGAGGACCTGAGTTCAAATCCGACCTCAACCAAATAGTTGACACTTACTAGCTGTGTGACCCTGGGCAAGTCACTTAACCTCAATTGCCTCACCCCCCCTAAAAAAAGAGCTAACAAGTTCTGTGCTTTTACCTTCCTAACACTTCTAGAATGTGCTTCCTTCTCTCCAATGGCATTGCTATTGCCTGGCACAGGTTTTCATCAGCTCTTGCTTAGACCCTTGCGATAGCTTTATTGTTGATCTCCCTGACCCAAGTCTCTCCCTATTTCAGTCAATCCTCCACTCAGTTGTAAGGTTGATATTCCTAAAGCACATGTCAGACTATTGCAGTATTTTATTCAATAAACACCAGTAGCACTTCTTGGGTAAAATATGAAAACCGTTCATCTAGGCTTTAAAACCTTTAATAACTTGACTTCCTCTTACCTTTTTATTATTCTTTTGTTTATTTTAAATTATTTTTATTAATTTTTAAAATTTTTAATTCTAAATTTGCCCTCTCTCTCTAGTTGAGAAGGCAAGCAATGATACCCATCATACATGTAAAGCTGAAGTCATGCAAAACATTTCCATATTAGACATGTTGGGGGAAAAAAAAAGCAAAAAAAACAAAGGAAGTAGAAAAAATATGCTTCAACAGGCCCTCAGAGGCCATCAGTTCTCTCTCTGGAAGTGGACACTATTTTTCATCACGAGTATTTTGGAATTATCAGAGATCACTGTACTGATCATTAACAACAGCTCATGTCTTCCACAGTTGACTGTGTTATGATATTGCTGTTACTGTGTACAATGTTCTCCTCTTTCCAGGCTTCCTAAATCTTACTTCCCTACACACACAAGAGATCCAGTGACGTGCTGTGCCTCAAGCATAACTATGAATTTCCCACTCCTTGTATTTCTCACTGGCTGTCTCCCATGACTGGAATAGTCTTTTCCCAACCCTGCCTCCTGATTTCCATGCCTTCCTTCATATCCCAGCTAAAATTTTCTACAAGACGCTCTTCTCAATCCCATGATGCTAGTGCCTTCCTTCTGTTGACTATCCCCAATTTACACCATATAACATATATCTTGTTTGTACACAGTTATTTGTATGTTGTCTTCCCATTAGACTGTGAGCTTCTTGAGACTAGGGCCTGTTTTTTGCCTTTCTTTATATAATCAGTACTTAGCACAATGCATGGCACACAGTAGGTGCTTAGTAAATATCCTTGCTAACTTATCTTGATGTCAACAAAGCACAAAACAAATGTTCTATAATAGCTTTGTAATGTCAATAAAAACACTAATGCAAAATTTGCTGGGGATAACTGAACCAGGAACGTAATTTTCTCTTACCCCAGAAAAGTTAAAAATGGTGACAATTCTGACCTTCTAATTTACAAAATAATGTAATACCTGAGATGATTGGGCTTTAAAACAAAAATCTCTCTACAGCTTCATGGAATCATCCATTTTAAATGGGTGAGAACTTAAAAGATGATCTACTCCCACACCCTCACTTGATAGAAAAGAAAACCAAGGCCCAGCCAAGTTACATGATTTGCCCAAAATCACATTGATTGGAATTGTCAAAGCCAGCACTTAAACCAATGTGCTTTGATACCAAATCCTGTATATCACACTACCTCTTAATCATTATTGACAAGAAATTGAGGAGCCAGATGCTATTCTAACTGACAAACAAACCCCACTCTCTTCCTCACCTTCTCTTCACTCCCTTCTTCCTTCCCCTTGCTCCTCACCTCTTTCTCGTAGGAACTGAGGCTCTGGAGACTCACGCTTGATCTGGGCGTTATAGGCTGAAGCTGGACATTCAGTGCATCTTGTGCTGCTCTCAAGGGTGCCATCTTCTCCCAGGCCCCTGCCTCTCTCTGGGTGCTTGATGCAACCTGTGGATAACGAGATATGTTTAGCCTTGTAAAGGAACCACTATGAAAACAAAAGCATCAGTACAGAAAGGAAGCCCAGAGATACAGGACACAGGAGAAAGAATTAGAGTTTTGTTTGTCAGGTTTAAAGAGGCTGTATTAAGATTAACCGTAAAATGACCCAGGAGATTCCTTTTCATTACTAAAAAGTTTTCTCCTTTCAGAAGAAAGGCTGAGGGGGGCAGCTAGGTGGCACAGCGAATAGAGCTCTGGCCTTAGAGTCAGAAGGACCTGAGTTCAAATCCAGCCTCAGACACTTAACACTTACTAGGTGTGTGACCCTGGGCAAGTCACTTAACCCCAATTGCCTCACCAAAAAGCAAAAAAAAAAAAAGGGCTGAATTGGCACATGAAATTTTTGTTGCTGATAAAAAGCAAATCTGAAATTTGAGTTATAAAATTATATTATAGGCTATTTGAACAATGAATGATTTAGTATTTAGTAAGATGAATGTACAAGAAAACTTCAAACAATTATGGAAAAACTTTAATTCTTTATTATATTTATATATATATAATTATATTTATCCATTTTTGCCAATTAAAAACCAATTGTAAGATTACCACAATTAATCAACCAAAAATTATACAATAAAACCAGTGATAGACCTTCCCATATCCATAATGCTACTTTAAATTTTAGAAACTATGAAAAAGCATGTTGTGGCACAGAAATTGTGCTTAGGCATAAACTCTAAGTACAGGCTACTGGAGAGGATTTAGAATACAGAATATACTGACTGAACAGAAGCTGGGAAAACGTGCCTACCTCCCTTGTGGCTATGATAGAAGATAACAGCTGAAAGGAATCTTAAAAGCCATCTAGTCTAACACTTTCATTTTACAGGATGAGGAAACTGAGGACCAGACAATGGTCTTGCTCTAATACAGGACTTGATCTAATAAGAAGAGACACGATTCTGAATCCAAGTCCAATACATTTGATACTCGATTAACCTCCCTCCCACTCCATCTTTATTTTCAGTCTTCATCTTTGACTTTTTATCACATTTGGTACTGATAACTACCTGATAACTTTCTAAAACTCTTTCCTCCTTTGGCTTCAGTAATTCCACACCATTCTTGTTCTCCTACCTTTCTGACCACTCCTTTATGTTCTTCTCTGATTTTTACCTATATACTTATAAATATGCTTTTCCCAGGATTCAGCTTTTGCCCTCTACTCTTTCTCTCTCCACACTCTCCCTCAGAGATCTGATTTACTTTCATGTAGACCGCCAATTAAACCAACCCGTTAAAAAAACTCAGTCGTCCTTGATTTTTTCCCTAACTCCTTATATCTAGTTATTCACCAAGTCCTCTTGAGTTTTCCTTCATAATTTTTTTTCTTTCTAATTTCCCCTGCCCCTGCTGTAATTCAGATTCTGGCCATTCCCCTCACCCCTAGGAGAAGAACTGTCTCATGTCTGCCTTTGTATCCCTATCACCTATCACCAATCCTAGAATACAGAAAGCACTTAAAATATTTGAAATGTTCATGATGGACAACAAAGTTGCTTCCTAAAATGGTCTCCTTGCCTCCAGTCTCCCTTTACTAAGTCAACTAAGCCAACATCGGCACAATTGCATTTTGGTTCAAAAAAACCTTCACTGGCTCCCCAGTGCTACTGATCAAGTCCAAACTCCTTAGCCTGTCATAGAAGATCCTGTTTTGTTTCTAGCTTTATCTTAAACAATAACCTAAATACAAGAATCCACCCCAAACTAGTCAAGGATCCTCTAAATACTGTGTGCAGGTATCTGTCTTCCTACCTTTTTCTGACATTATTACCTCTGCCTTCTGTGTGAGGGTGTGTGTGTGTGTGTGTGTGTGTGTGTGTGTGTGTGTGTGTACACATTCCTGTACATACCAGTTCAAGGTCTTCCAGGAAACATTCTCAGACTAATCCAACTGACATTTCATAGTCCTCTGTATTTGAAAATGTATGATATATCCAGGGATTCTAAAGCATGAGAACCCCTCCTCCTCCTCCTTAGTGTGTGTGTGTGTGTGTGTGTGTGTGTGTGTGTGTGTGTGTGTGGCAACTGGGGTTAAGTGAATTGCCCAGAATCACACAGCTTGTTATGTGTGTGAGGCCGCATTTGAACTCAGGTCTTCCTGACTCCAGGGCTGCTGCTCTTATCAACTGCCCCACCTACCTGCCCCATGAACCTCTTTTTAATATGGAAAAATTATGGACCCCTCTACCACTCACAGGGCACATTTTGCTAGGGCTAAAGATCAAAATTATAATATGAATATGGATTTTCAAACCCTTTGCAACAATTCCAGAAACACCCTGGAGTTCAGATTACCACCTATTTGAGAATTAATCATGTGACACACATTGCATTTTCTTGTGCTGTTACTCAATGCTCATGTGTCATTTAATCTTTCATATGTTTTCATGTTCTAGTATTTGACGGTGAGTGCCATAAAATAACAGGTTCTTAAATATGTACATTGAAGTTACTTGGACAAGTGGAAAGAGAAACCAGGATCTTTTCTATTTCACAAAATTGTTGTTCAGAAATACACTATTAGGGGGCAGCTAGGTGGCGCAATGAATAGAGCTCTGGCCTTGGAGTCAGGAGGACCTGAGTTCAAATCCAACCTTGACACATAACATTCACTAGCTGTGTGACCTTAGGCAAGTCACTTAACCCTGATCCCCTCACCAAAAAGCAAAAAAAAAAAAAAAGAAATATACTATTAAAAGGCGTGATCATCAAAAGTTACAAAAGCAAAACTTTTCTTCTTTTCGCTCTCTCAATCTTCCATAACTTCTATAGTTTCAATCTCGCCATACTTTTCAAAGTAGTCTCTTAAATTACATTCTTCTGTATCTTCTGTAATACCACCAACAATTTTCTTCAGAGTTAGATGTGCACCATGTTTTACAGAATCCTCTCTGGAAACAGCTCTCTTTTCTTCCACTACACGCCCATCAACCTTAGGTGGCCCAGCACAAGCTGCTGCATCTACCTCTTCTACACAAGGATAAGCTGCGAAGCCTCGGGAACTTTTTGTTTGGGGATCTCGCATCACCACACAATCTCTCACAGTGCCAAATTTTTCAAAGTGTTCTCTTAAGCTATCTTCCACAGTTTCAAAGTTCAAGCCACCAATAAACAGTTTTCTCAACTGCTCTGGTTCCTTTGGATCATGAAGCTGCTTCCCCCAACCCCTTGAGGTGAGGGCAGCCAGAGTCAGGCACAGGGAGATCGGGTGCCTGTTTTACCTCCATTATGAGAACGTACCCAGATTACTTCTCTGGTAAAGTGGAAAGAGCACTGGCTTTCAAGACAAAGCACTTGGGCTCAGATCCTGCCTCTGATGGTTACTGCCTAGACAACTCGCTGTCGTACCGCACACAGCTCTGGGCCTGCAGTCAGGAAGACCTGAGTTCAAATCCAGCCTCAGACACTAGCTGTGTGACCCTAGGCAAGTTACTGACCATCTTTGCCTCAGTCTCCTCAACTATAAAATGGGGATAATAATAGCACCTACATCCCGGGGCTGTAGTGAAGGTCAAATGAGACAATAATTGTAGCGGCACATAGTAAGTGGTATATAAATGCTCATGACTTCTTTCATACCCGTACGCACCATTCAGAGGGAAAAACACAACTATCAAAATCACAGGCTTCTAAATTGACACTGGACTCTGGAGGTTTCCCTGAACTCTTAAATAACTGAGGCATTCCTCATTCCAGGAATGATCCCACATTCCCCCCCCACCCCGCCTCCCGACCCCTCCTCCACGGCACAGACCCGGTTCTCACCTACACTTCCCGACTACATTTCCCGGGATGATAGAGACAGACGGACCATAGTCAAGAGGTTGCTATAGTGACGGGCTTGGGCGGCACGTGACTCCACCAGAGTCCATGCTCCGCCCCGGCCTGGCTCAACACAAGAGGGCGTAGGTCTACACTACATGGACCCGCTGCAGCCACTGCTACTACTCAAAAGCTCCACTGAGGCTGGGAGCTCAAGTCTCAGAGTCCAGCGCAGAAAGGAAGCGGGCTTCACGTCCCCAGAGAACAGCGCCGCCCGGATTGCTGGGAAACGTAGTCTGGGGGCGAAAATGAACGCCCCAGGCCCCGGAGGCTTCTGGGAAGCGTAGTCCAGCGACAGCTCCTACAAGCGTCCATGACATCCTGTGTGCCCCAGCTGGAGATGTTTAAGCCCTTCTCCCTTTAAGGGAATTGTCCTCCTGGAGCTCTGTGTGTTAAGTGAGTCCTGGTTCCTCCACCTAGAAGAGGGGGGCCCCTCCCCCTCCCGCCTCCTTACCTCCTTGCCCACAGGAAGATGGAGGTGGGGATAAAGCCTAGGAGCCCCAGGATGGAGTTTGGCGCCGGGAAATCGGGCTGGGCCCGCGCCGGTGACGTCATCGCAAGGTGTGGGGGTGGGGGGCCCGCGTGTGGGCCTGGCTCGAGGAGAATCGGCTGCGGCCGACCGTCCGGCCCTTGGCTTCGGCCACTTCCTTGGAGGTGACCCTCCCGTCCGCGCTGCCCAATTCGCGGGGCTTTCTGTGGGCGCGGGAGCAAAGGTCCGCCCCGGTCTTTGTCGGGGCCCAACCGGCCCTGCAGTCCACCGGCTCTCTCCAGGCCTGGGGGGCAAGTGTTTACCTAACCTCGTCTTCAGTCCCTGGGGTTAGTTCTTCTGTTCCATTCGCCTTTTTCTGTCTACCCCCCCTCCCATACCAGGCAGCTTTTATACCTATTCCTCTGGGTTACCTTTTGAAATCCAGCAATAACAATAGCTAGTGTTTTAAAATCTGCAAAGAAAGCCCTTTCTAAAGAAATAGTAGCTCTTCTACACCACCACCCTGGACTTATCATCCCCATTTTACAGATCAGAAAACTCAGGCAGACAGAGTTGAAGTGACAGACCAGTAAGTGTCTGAGGCTGGATTTGCATGCAGGTTTTCAGGGCTCCGGGCACTGTCCATCACCCAGATGCCAGGGGGTAGTTATTAGGGAACACCAGCCTTTCCTCACTGTCTGTTTACTTTTTTCTTCTTGAGTCTCTTTCCTACCTACTTTCTGTTCAGGTTAGAGTTGGGAGAGCTGGTTCAGGTGTGGAAGAATTCACTTAGACCTTCTCTTTAGGCGTTGGTGATGAGTTAAGAGTGAACCCCGAGAATGTTGGGGTGCTACCCGAAATGATGAGGAATACACTTGGGGTCCTAGTGTCCAGAAAGAATGAACTCCGACAGTCTCCAAGTTGAAGAAAGGCATTTATTGGGGTGATGTACCCAAGTGGGCTTTTTTCCCTTAGGACAGAGCCCCAGTGGCCTCTACTCCCCATGGAAGGCAGAGCCCAGGCCGCTGGCCCTACTCCCCTAAGGGAACAGAGTGGCCCCTGTTTCCCAGTTGGAGGCTAAGGCGGTTAGCCAGGTCAAAGGTATGGTTTAAATACCATTTTATGGAATAGGGGGAAGGGGACAAGAGAATGGGAGGAGCAAGCATGGCTCCAAGATGCCTGGTAGTCCAGAGCTGATAAGCAAAGAGAGCAGAAGAGAGGAGGGGAAGAGTTGTTCAGCACACAGATAAGTCCACAGTGGGGGCTTCAGTGCACAGTCTTCTTTGATCACTTTTCTGGCTGGTCACATCCTGCATCTTGTGTCCCATTTCATGTCCTGCTTGCCCTATCTGCCTCAAGCACTCTTTTCTGCCTCATCACTTTCCATATGAATCTCCTTATGATTTTGTGTAGTAGCCTATTGCTACTATTATGGAGCCCAGAATTAAAACAGAAGGTAGATTGGCAATGGGAAATTTGCTGGGCTTCCTTTTTTGTTGGTCAGTCATTTCTGAATTTTCGTGACCTGGTGGACCATACAGGGTTTTCTTGGCAAAGATACTGGAATGGTTTGTCATTTCCTTCTCCAGAGGATTGAGGCAAACAGGTTAAGTGACTGGGCACTGTGTGCCCAGAGTCACACAGCTAGTAAGTGTCTGAGGACCTATTTGAACTCAGGTCTTCCTGACTGCAGGGCTGGTGCTCTATCCACTGCGCCACCTAGCTGCCCCCAGAAGAAATTTTAAAAAATTTTTTAGAACTTATCAAGGAGTTGTTATGTTAATAAAACTGAGAACACAACACGAATACCTTTGAAATGTAAAAACTATTCATACTGACAGAAAACTAAATAAGGATCTTAAATAATAGAATATCAGAAAAGGAAAATAAACTTGTAAAATAATTACCAAAGTGGAAAAAACATCTTAGTGTGTATGGATTCACTGAAGAATTCTATCAAACTGTTGAGACCCATATTATACAAAATATTCTCCAAAAATAGAGAAGGAAAGCACCCTACCAGAATCTTTTTATAAGACAAATATCTAAGCCGTAAAAGGATAAAATACAGGAGAATTATAGACCAATATCATTAATACGGATTTTTAAAAAACATAAAATCCTCTCAGACTATAGCAATTTATCCAAGAAATCATTCATTATGACCAAGTTGGCTTTTTACTAGGGATATAAGGAAAACAACACAATCATATTAAAAAGAGAAACAACCAAAGCCACATAATTATCTCAATATATGTAGAAAAAGTCTTTAGGGGCAGCTAGGTGGTGGAATCAAGAGGACATGAGTTCAAATCCAGCCTCAGACACTTACTTACTAGCTGTTTGACCCTAGGTAAGTCACTTAACCCCTATGGCCTCAGTTTAAAAAAAAAGCCTTTAAAAAAAATCTAACACTCATTTATGCTTTAAAAAAAAAGGAAATCATAAACATAGTGAAATCTTTTTTAAAAATATATATATATATAAAACTAAAACCAAAAGCAAGTTTCTTATGCAAAGGGGAGACATAGAACATTTCCCAAAAAAATATGTAGATGTAAATCAAGTATATCTACTCTTCCCACTATTATTTGATATAGTTCTGGAAATGCTATCAATAGCAGTAAGGCCAAAAAGTAAATACATAAAGGTGTAAAGATAGTTCAAGAGGAGATAAAATTACTTATTTGCTGCTGATTTGATATTTTACTTGGAAAATCCTAGGGAATTAGCAAAAAATAATAGCTCCAGCAAGCTTGCAGGATACAACCCCTCCCCCAAATCAACTGCATTTCTGTATAATAACAATCCAAGAATAATAAAGAAATTCCATTCCAAATAATTATAAAGTGCATAAAATATCTGGGAATCAATCTACCAAAAAACAGAAAAGACTTCTATCAATCCAATTGCAAAATGCTACTTAAAGAAATTTAAAACAAATTAAATATCTGAAGAAAAATCCAGTGCTAATTACTGAGCCATGCCAATGAAATAAAAGTAACAATAATGCCAAAGCCAATTAATATACTTAATGCTATACTAATCCAATTATCAGAGGTACTTTTTAGAACTTGATAACATAATCACAAAATTCATTTGATAAATCCAAAATATCTAGAATATCAAGAGAAATAATAAAGAGGTAGGGGCTATGGAGAAAACACTTTATTATGTGTTAATATGGTTTGAACCTAGCTTTATGTGGCTAATATTGTTTAACCCAGACTGTTAGGTGGGAGTCATGATATCTAAAGAGACCCTCCCAGGGAGCAGGAAGATCACTGTAAGGAATACTTGAATCCCATCCAGGAGTTGTTTTGGGCAAATCCATGTGTTGAATCCCATGTTTTGGGTCCATCCAATATCCTGTGTTTTGGCGTTGCCTAAGTTTTATTGAATGTTCATACTTACCTGCATGCATCACACACACACACACACACACACACACACACACACACACACGACTTAACAGAGATTGGGAGAGGATGGCCCATACCTGTTTCTGGCTCTCCCCTCTGCCAAACCAACTTCAAAAAATCCTTTCTACAAACCTGTTTAGGTTTCAGGGTTTCTTGTGGACTGACAGGGCAAAGGACAAATAGCACTTCCAAATCTCAAACTATATTAAAAAGCAGTGGTCATTAAAATCATCTGGTATTGGTGAAAAAAAAAGATAGGTCCAGTAGACATCTTTAACTCAATATGTCCAAAACAGAGCTCATATTTCCCCCTAAACCTTCCCTCCTTCCTTCCTTCCTTCCTTCCTTCCTTCCTTCCTTCCTTCCTTCCTTCCTTCCTTCCTTCCTTCCTTCCTTCCTTCCTTCCTTCCTTCCCTATTACTTTAGAGGCAACACCGTCCTTCCCATCCTTCAGGCTCATCCAGATGTCATCCAGGATTCCTTACTATCTCTGAGCTCCAACCCACCCCCATGCGCGCGCGCACACACACACACACACACACACACACACACTGCAGCCTTTGCAACATTTCTTGACTATGTCTCCTTCTATCCTCTGATACTCCACTACCCTAGTGCAGGCCCTTATCACCTCATGCCTTGATTATTGCAATAGTCTGCCTGCCTCAAGTCTCTCCCCACTCCAATCTATCCTCCATTCAGCCACTAAAGTAATTTTACTAAAACCCAGATCTAATTATGTCTCTCCCCTACTTAGTAAACTCCAGTGGCTTCCTATTGCCCCCAAGAGCAAATGCAGAATGTTCTGTCTAGCATTCAATGCCCTTCATAACCTAGCCCCCTCTTACACCTTATTCCCCAACACAAACCCTTCCATCCAGTGACACTGACTTCCTAGATATTTCACAATCAAGGTGCTGCATCCCTCTTAGCCCTAGGCACTTTCTCTGGCTGCCCCCCCATGCCTAGAAGGCTCTCCCTCTTCTACCAACTAGTTTCCTTTGCATCCCAACTAAAATTTCACCTTCTACACAAAGCCTTCCCTAAACCCTCCTAACTCCAGTGCCTTCCTTTTTTTAATTCCTTCCTATTTATCCTGTATATAATTTGCTTTGTATATATGTGTTTGTATGTTGTCTTCTTCCATTAGATTGTAAGCTCCTGAAAAGCAGGGGCTCTCTTTTGCTCTGTGTATGTGTATATGTATGTGTATGTTTATGTGTGTGTGTATATGTGTGTCCTCAGACCTTAGCACGATGCCTAGCACATATAGGACTTAAATGGTTTTTGAATTGAATTGAGGTAAATCAATGGAATAGACTACACAAGGCAGAATAAGAAACAATGGAACTCAATAATCCAATGTTTGACAAACCAGAAAACAAAAATTACCTAGGAAATAACTCCCCATTTGATAAAAGCTGCTGGAAAAACTTGAAAGCAGTACATCATATTCCATAATATAACTAGATACACTACCTTTATATTAAAGAACTTACTATAAAAAAAAATCTGAGAAAAGAAGCAGCTCATATACCTCTTACAGCTATGGATAGGAGATGTATTCTTAGCCAAATAAAGACAAAGGCAATTACAAAAGATAAATTAGATACCTTTGCTTACATTGAAAAGTTTATGCACAGACAAAATTAATGTATCCAAAATAAGAAAGGAAGCAGTAAAGTGGGGGACAAAATCTTTGTATCAAATTTCTCTGACGAGGGTTTGGTATCTAAGATGTATAAACAATTTATATAAATAATTGATGTGTACATATATATATATATATGTATATATACATATGTGTATATATACACACACATATAAAATAAAAAATCAATCTATTTCCCAATATATAAGTAGTCAAAGGGTATGAAGAAATAGTTCTCAAAAGGACTGCAAAGTATTCACAATGACATATAAGAATGCTCCAAATCACTCATAATAAGAGAAAAGGAAAATCAAAATCAAGATTTCACCTCACCCCTTGCAAATTGGCAAAGCTAACAAAAGATGGTGATGGTCAATATGCAAAGGGTTTTGGGAAAAGAGGCACATTGGTACATTTTGATAGAGCTATATAAATCAGTAAAAACCATTTTGGAAAGCAATTAAAGTAACCAAAATGTCTGTATCATTTGACCCAGAGATTCTATTAATGGGCTTATGTATCCTAAGGAGGCCATTGATGAGAAGAAAGTTCTCATATATACCAAAATATTTATACCAGCATTTTTTGTGATAGCAAAGAATTTAAAACAAAGTAGTTGCCTATCAATTCAGGAATAGCTAAACAAATTGTGGTATATAAGTGCTTTAACAAATGATGTGTGTGGTGACTACAGAGAAGCATGGAAAGGTCAACATAAACTGATACAAAAATGAAGTAAGCAGAGCCAAGAAAATAGCATACAAAATGATGACAATAATGTAAATAGAACAACTATACACACAGACAGACACACACACATACCACACACGAGGTGAATGTTGCAAAATTATAAATAACTAGCATGACTTAGAAGAGAGACGAATTACCTCCAATCTGTCCATCTACAGAAGTCAAAAGTATAAGTGTGGTTGTTGGTGGTTAAGGCATTTCAGTCTTGTCAGACTCTCCATGACCTCATTTGGGGTTTTCTTGGCAAAAATACTGGAATGGTTTGCATTTCCTTCTCCAGCTCATTTTACAGGTGAGGAAATGGAGGCAAACAGGGTGAAGTGTCTGAGGCCAGATTTGAACTCATGAAGATGAGTCTTCCTGATTCCAAGTTCAGTACTCTATCCATTGCAACACCTAGCTGCCCTATAAATATGATACACTGCACGTGTTTTCAGATGTTTTTGATGTATTAATTGGTTATGCTGATTTTTTTCTGTTTTTCTCTTTTTTTATTTAAAAAATTCTATTTTGTTGGATGGCTCTTTAGGAAGGAGACAGGAGGGACTGTGGAAGAAACTATGGTGATGTAAGTAAAATTATTAATAGTGATTTTTAGGTAAAATTATTAAGTACTGAGTTGAAGGAAAGATTATTACTTCATTGTTTGAATCTAGCTTTGCATAACTAGGAATTAGACATGTATTGCTTAGAGACAAACTAGTTTAATATTTCACTTAGGATTCCAGTTCATACTGACCCCAGAAAACTTCAGGGAACTCAAAGATTAATGTTTGGAAGTTGCAATTAATTTCTGGTTTCCTAAGAAATACATTTTAATTAATCTATGTAAAGTTTAATTAATCTATATGCCTTATTTGGAACACTTACACTTATTATGTATTAACCAATTAACTACCAATTTGATCCTTTGTTTGAATACCACATAATATGCAACTTTTATAGGTTCAGGGGGAGCAAGCCACCTATTTCAGCTCTTCCCTCTGCTGGATGACTTAATAAACTTCTTTCTAAATTACTTTTGTTCAAGAAAATTTTGTTCTTAACTCACACTGATCAAAACAAAAGACATAAGTAAAAAAATTATTCAAAAGAAAAAGCAAAGAAAGCCCAAGCACATTAGATGGACCCCTATGCTAAACTTATGGGAGGACATGGAAATGAGTCACACAGAAAGGGCAGGCATGGATGGGTTGTGTCCTCCTCTTGACTCTTTCCAGCCTAACAACGTGCTTAAACCATAGTGCTAGAACTAAATATCATCCTCCAGGTGAGCCCTGAGAAAAGCAGTGTACAATGGAACTATCACCTCCCTATAGGTTAATAATTTTTTGATTTTCATGGTGACATAGACATTATTCATGGTTCATAATTTGCTACTGATTTTATTTCATCATTATCCATATATGTAGAACATAAGATTTCTGCTTCTCCACATTTCTCTGTATCTTCTTTTGACCCAGCAGGTAATAAGTTTTTGTACATGTCCCATGTGTGCTGGAAGTAAAATATATATCCTCTGCTTTTCTCATTGAGTGCTCTACCTCCATCTCTTAGATCTAGTTTGTTTGATACTCTTATTCAACTCAGTAACTTCTCATTTATCTTTTGGTGGATTATCATGTTTTCCTATTTGGGATGTCTTACCTCTTCTTGCAAAACTGTGAGGTTTTTTTTTTCCTTTTTTCCTTTATAAATCTTACTGATCAAAATTGTTAGGGATATATATTTAAACTTGCTGTGCTCTCATTTTTAACAGAACTCTTTAGCATATTATATTGTTCTAGATTATTCCTTCAGTATATCCTGATTTAAATTCAACTTTGGCTGATATCATCTGTGCCATTTCTCCATTTCATGAATTAGTGGTAACATGGTAAGTTTCAGACCAGCCTTTTGCTTTGAATCTATACAGACCCTTCTGCATTATCATCTTCTATCTCTTACCTTTCTCAACCAAACTCCTCTTAAAAACTGTCTACAATTTCCTCTTTACTTCTCTCCTCTCACTCCTCAACCCTTTGCAGTCTGGCTTCTAAATTCCATGCTTTAAATTGCACTTTCCAGTCACTAATGATCTCTAAATTACAAGATTTGTTGGTCTTTTCTCAGTCTTCATCCTGCTTGATCTATTTGCTGCATTGGCACAATGGACCCCCTTTTCCTCCTGGATGCTCCCTACTCTCTGGGTTTTCATGACACTACTTTTGACGGGTTCTTTTCCTGACCACTCCTCAGTCTCCTTGGCTGGCTCATCATCTATATCACAACCTCTAACTGTGGTATTGTCCAAGGATTTTGTCCATCCTGACTCAATTCCTTTCTCCATTGGTTGTCTCTTGGTAACCTTATCAGTTTTACCTATCATCTGTAAGCAGATAACACACAGATATAAAGCCCCAATACCTCCACTGAGCTTCAATCTCCCATAACCAATTGACTAACGGACATTTCATAATGGATGTCCCAGACATATCTTAAAGTCAGCATGTCTGAAACAGAACTCATTATCTTTCTTCAAAAACCTTCCCTTCTTAAGTGGGGAAGGTGAGAGGCAATGAGTGAATCTTATTCTCACTGGATTTGGCTGAAGGAGAGAATATCATACACACTCAAATGGGTATGGAAATCTATCTTACCCTACTGGAAAATAGGGAGGAAGGGGATAAGAGAGCTAGGGATGGAGGGGAGAGAGACAAAGGGGAAGGCAGATTGGGTAGGCAGAAGCAAACACTTCTGAGAAGGGACAGGGTCAAAAGAGAGAATAGAATAAACAAGGGGCAAGATAGGATGAAGGGGAATATAGTTAATTTTCCACAACATAACTACTATGGAAGTGTTTTGCATGATTACACATGTATAACCTGTATCGAGTTGCTTGCCTTCTCAATGAGGGTGGGTAGGGAGGGAGGAAGGGAGAAAATTTGTAACCCAGAGTTTTAAAAACAAATGTTAAAAATTGTTTTCACATGGAACTGGGAAATAAGATGTACAGGCAATGGGGTATAGAAATCTATCCTGCCCTACAGAAAAACAGAAGGGAAAAGGGATAAAAGAAGGGAGGGAGAAAGAAGGGAGGGCCAATTAGGGGAAGGGATATTCAGAATGCACGCTGTATGGGGGTAGGGAGAGGGATAAGATGGAGAGAAAATTTGGAACTCAAAATCTTATGAAAGTGAATTTTTAAAATTAAAAATAAATTAATAAGAAAAAATAAAAATAATAATTTTTAAAAAAACCTTCCCTTCTTCCAAACTTTCCTATTTCTGTGGAAGGCACCATCAACCTTCCAGTGTCCCAGTTTGCTAATTTTGGCATTATCCTGGACTCTTCGTACTCCTTTATCCCAAATATCCAATAGGTTCCCAGATCTTGCAGTTTCAACCTTCATAACATCTTTCACATCTGACCCCTTGTCTTTGTTGAACAGATGTTCAACTGATTAGATGTCAAATGTAGTTCAACACCTGAGTTCAGAGCTTTATCATGGATCACATAGGTTATTGCAACAACCTCCTCATTGGTCTCCCTACCTCAAGTCTCTCACTATTCCAGTCCAGTCCTCGAACTGCCACCAAAGTAATTATTCTTAAATAGAGATGTGACCTTGAAACTAATCAAGTCAACTGAAGGGCTTATATTGGCACTACAGTAAAATATAAACTCCTCTGTTTAGCTTGTAAGGCCCTACACAACCTGACCCTAACCTCTCTTTATAACCTCATTGGACATTATTTCCTCTCTCTCTGGATTTCACTTTGAAAGCAAGCAGACAGGCCTTAATTCCTCATAAACAACATAATCTCCTGTCTCTTTGCATCTCATCTCATATGCCTCCTCACTTCAGCTTTATAGAGTTTCTCTCTTCCTCTAAGATAGAGTTTAAGCATCATCTTCTGCCTGAAAACTTTCCTGACCCCTAGTGCCCTTCCTCCCAAACTGCATCGTATTTAATTGCTTTCTAAATATTGGTACTTAATTATTTTATACTTATGTTTACATATTTACATATCTACTTGTCTTTCCCATTAGAATGTAAATTCATTCATTGAACCTGTATCCAGGGTTTTTCTGGTAAATGTTTAACAACCAGCTCTCTAAGGGAAAAAAAATGTGTGCGATACACTTTTAAGTTTAATCTTATTTACATTTTCTTCAATGCTTTGTGTGTGTGTGTTGTTATTTTCATCACTTTCTTACATCTTGACAATTAATAAAACAGTCATTCAAGCCCTGATTTGTAGTTTGCTGATTTCCAAGATATAAATGGTCACATTGAAAATTTAACAGTCTGTTCTCCAGAGGAAGTATGAGCAAGGTCCAGCATACATACAGACTACTGTACCTAGCAAGGTGCTCAGTATATAAATGCTTATTGATCTGTTGGTTCCTGAAAACAATATATGATTGGATTTTGCTTTCAAATCCATTCAGTAATTTTTTTCCTTTGAGAGATCAGCCCATTTGTATTTAGCAGTTTAATTTAAAAATTCAGCCTTTCCTCTGATATTCCTTTATAAGAGAGGGTAAATCTGATCCACAGAGTATCTTTCACTTCCCAGCACACCCAGGAGAATGAAATTTCTGGTTGCTAATGAAAAATTACATTGACAATGAGATTTTAAGGATGTGACCCCAACAGATTTGACTTGGAGTGGCCAGCTACTAACTGAATAAAGATAAGACTTGGGAAGACCTAGAATAGCTCTTTTACAAATGAAAAGGTCAGGAATAAGGCTAAGGACTGACAAAGATAATGGACCCCCCCCAATCCCCACCAGTACTCTTTTCTCCAACCATTAAGGTAAAAATAGGAAGACCTGAGAGTTGAAAAAAGTTGGAAAAGAACCAGCTACAGAGGAATAACTCAGCCCTTGAAAGTTCACTATTCAACTCTTCCCTTGCTCCCCCTGGACAGTAAAGCAAAGCTGAAGAGATTTGTCCTTCTTTGCTCTCCCATCTTGTAGCATAGGCACATGGCCAAAGATCTGTGCTTGCTTGAAGCCCTAAGTTGTGGACCTGATTCAAGTTGTCAAGAAGAGGACAGACAGCTGGGACCCTGCTACTCAGAAGATTGCAGGCCTTAAAGCCAAGACTCCAAGGTAATAAAATTAGGGAGGTTCCTGCCAAACCCAGGATAAGGGTTCTAGGTCTTTTCTAGCAGTGCACTACATTGGAATTGCAGAAAATCTAGAAGCTAGAAGTGATCTAGAAACTAGAAGATCTAAAAGCTAGTTGTGACAACAGCCAGGCAGAGAAGCAGCAGGCATTGAAGACTCCAAGGCCGAAGTCATTAGAATCAAAAGCCACCAGCCCTTAAGACCTCACACCCATGAGACTGACTAAGATGACACAAAAGCAAAATGACGGATTGTGAGAAAACAGGTGCTCTGGAAAGCAGTTTGAAACTACACCTGGAAAGGTATTAAACTGTGCAGCATATCTCTAGAGCCAGACACACCACTACTCGGTCTATACCCCAAAGAGATTATTGCAAAAATTTTCAGGGTCATTACTAGGCACTGCAGGAATAAGCCAGTACAGGATATAGATGAGAGGGACACTGCAGTTTATTTGTCCACTCAAGAGACTGACATATACTCCATCATCAGGTGAGGGACATGTGCATCTTACAAGTCCACAGAAGAGCTGTACAGTCCATAGGACCCAGACAGTTCAGTTAAGATCATGTAGGCACAGTAGGCAGGTTGATAAAGCTGTCTGGGGTATGATCAGATAGGACTCATAGGTAAGATAAGCTACTTATTAAAAAAAATTAAGAGGATGATTAAATTTTTACAAAGACCTTTAGTGTAGCCATTTTATACCAGACCAAATAAAACAATATCTTACCAGTCAGTTAATTAGCAGTTGTTAAGTTCCTGTTGTGTCTGATTCTTTGTGACCTCTGGACCATATTGTCCGTGGGGTTTTCTTGGCAAGGATACTACAGTGGTTTACCATTTCCTTCTCCAGTAGACTAAGGCAAACAGATGTTAAGTGACTTGCCCAGAGTCCCACACTAGTAAGTGTCTGAGGCTGGATGTGAACTCAGGTTTTGCTGACTCTAGGCCCAACACTCTATCCACTGAGCCACCTAACTGCCTCCTTTATTAAGCTTCTACTAACTGCCTTATTAGATAGGATAAAGAGAATGGGGTGTATTCCTGGTACAATTCAAAATCCTGTGGATTTTCTTTTGTAATCTTAAAATGATTGGGGGAAAAGAGGTACTGAAGAAAACATTCAGTACTCATCTGAGGCATCAGGAAGAAAAGCAAAGAAATATAATAGCAAATATAGGACAAAATGAAGTTAGTTGTTCTACCCAAAATCCACTTTCAACAAGATCAAAGAAAGAGAAAAAGATTCATATCCACAAAAATATCCATAGTAATTTTTTTTGTGGTGCCAAAGAATTAGAACCTGAGAAAATGACCAACAATTGGACAATGACTGAGCAAGTTATAGTATATGAATATGATCAATTACTATTATGCTGTAAAAAATGAAGAAGGGGATGGTTTCAGAAAACTGGGAAGACTTGTATGAACTGATACAAGGTAAAGTGAGCAGAATCAGGAAAATAGGGGGCAGATAGGTGGTATAGTGGATAGAGCACTGGACCTGAGTTCAAATCCGGCCTTAGACCAAACACTTGACACTTACTAGCTGTGTGACCCTGGGAAAGTCACTTAACCCCAATTGCCTAAAAAAAAAATCAGGAAAATAATTTATAAAATAACAGCAATATTGTAAAAATCATCAACTTTGAAAGACTTAGTAACACTGATCAACACAATGACCAAACCACAATTTCCAAAGCATCCATGATGAAACATTCTATCTACCTCCAGATAGACAGCTGATAAACTCAGAGCACAAATTAAAGCATATTTTCTTCTTTTTCTTTCTTCCTTTTTATTTTTTTGACATAGATTATGTGGGAATTTGTTTTGCATGACTATATATATTTGTAATGTATGGGTTGTTTTTTGTTTTTTTTTAAACCTCAACAATTGGCACGTGGTGAAGGGGGAGGGACAGAATTCAGAAGTGAAAATGAAATTGAATTTAAAAAAAAAATCAGCAATATCAAAGGCATAAATTCAGTCTGTCAATAAGCATTTATTAAGCACTTAATATATGATAGGTACTCTGCTAAAGGCTGGGAATTCAAATGCAGGCTGAAAGATAGTTCCTGCCCTCAAGGAGCTTATATTCTAATGGGGGAAAATAATATATAAAAGGGAGCTAAAAGAGGAGGGGAAGGTACCCTTAGTATGACATGGTGGCAAAGTCTAGAGAGTCAGAACTAGAACGTGGAAGAGAATTAAGAATGATAAGCTTGGGTCCTTCCCCAAAATGGACGCCTCAGAAGGAACTCACCAATGGAAGGAGGGGACCCTGTGGGTGGAAGGACATTCCAAGGTGAGAAGTCCACAGGTACTGAGGAAAATTCCAGGGTGAAAAGCCAGCAGGGCCTTGATGGCAAAATCCAAAGAGAGTTACCTGTCTCTCAATATGATTTGATTACAAGGACTCTCTACATATGAACTCTTTGTATTGTCTACTTATAACTTCAGGAGTTTTCATTATTGCCACTGATAACCAGTGTTTATTTTTAAAACACCTCAAGGTTATGGGGGAGATGTGCTCTTACTATGCTATTTTATCTTTGCTTTGAGCTAATTGTGTCTTCTGGCTTTCTAGGGACAAGGTAAACCCACAAATGGAGACTCATGACTTAAAATTTTAGGCATGTAGGCCCACAGAATACCTTGAACCTAAAATAATCTTTCTTCTTGGGAACCCAAACTGCAAATGTGAGTCTCCAGAAGTAGCCCACAGGTGCACTACACTTTTTTATTTGTCTTAATAGAAGTGAATGCCATCTTTGTTATTTTTATTATTTATAAACAACCAAACTACTCTAAACAAAATTACTCCTTCCAATACTATTCATTATATAGGTAGGTTTAATTTGAACTGTCTTTATCTGAAGCTTCCTATTGTTAGCAACTGGTTTGTCTTGATTTGAAGAATGTGAATAGTTTAAAGTACTTATCTTTTTGGCTTATAGCCCTGATGGTTGTTCAAAAGCTTTCTTAAAATAAAACGAAAGGTATCTATAAACCTTTCAAAGTCCAGAAGTTTAACAAATGATCTTCTAAACCAAACCAATTGGTGTAGTACAAACAGCAATAGACAAAGTTGATTGTCTTCCTCATTTTGAACCATCCTTTCAACCCTTGGTATGATCCAAATTCAACTAAGTCATAATGAATGATTGGATGAATTGCCATAATTTGATTGATGTTATTTTACTTAAATTTCTAAATCAATATTCACTATTCATCTTGTTTATACTTCTTCCTACATATCTACCTACCTACATACATACATCCTTTTCTGGTTCTGATATTAGGAATATATTTGCCTTGTAAAAGGAATCTTGTAGAGTGTTTTCTTTCTAAATTTTAAAAATAATTTGTGTAGTCCTGGTACTAATTGTTCTTTAAAAATTGTATAGAATTCTCCTGTGAATCCATCATAATCAGGGGTTTTTCCCCACTTTTGGTAGTTATTTTACCAAATTTCCTTTTCTGAGATTGGATAATTTAAGATCTATGTTTGGTCTGTTACTGTGGGTACTTCATATTTTTCAAGATATGTCTCTCTTTTGTGTTCTGTTTTATTGGCACATTACTGTGCATAGTTAGCTCTGATAATTCTTTTTTTCTTCAGGTTTTACTATGCTTTCACCTTGTTCACGTGCTACTTCATTGACTTGATTTTCTGCCATCTTCTCTTTAGTCAGGTTGGCCAAATGTTGTTAATTGGTTTTTTTTTCAAATAAAGTTTTTAGTTTTGTATATCATTGCTGTTGTCTTTTTGGCTTCCAATTTATATATTCTCTAATTTTCAATGTCTCCTTTTTTGGGTTTATTAGCTTTCTAATTTCTAAAAGGCATATTCAGTTCATTAATTAGGCCTCTTCTGTTTTGTTAATAACTATCATTTATATGGTGCTTTAATAAGGTTTCCAAAGAGCTTTACAAATATTATCTCACTTTATCCATACAACAAGATAGATGCTATTATTATTCCCACTTTTAGAGATGAGGAAACTAAGCCACAGAAAGGTTAAATAACTGCCTCAGGGTCACACAGCTACTAAGTGCCTGAGGACAGATTTTAACTCAGAACTTCCTGACTCCAAGTCCAATGCATCTCCTGACTTCCTAGTAATGTATGTTTTTAGGGACAGAATTTCCCCCCTAAGGAATGCTGCAACCCAGAACTTTTGGTATGCTGTTTCATCATTATTGTTACCTTTCACATAATTATTTTTTCTAGAATATTATCTTTGACCCATTATTTAAGATTTCATCATTGTCTCCATTTGTGTTTCTGCCTTTTGCAAATGCTCCCCATTTGACTCATTTGTATTTCAGTATGGTCTATAAAGGATGTATTTCCTATTTCAGCCATTTTATGTTGACTTGAAATATTTCTGTGCCCTAATGTGGGGTCAGTTTTTTTAAAAGTTCCATGTGGTGCTGGGAAATACATATATTCTTTAGCATTCCTATTTAGAAGATACCATAAAACATTCAACTATAGTTTCTCTAGCAATTTATTCAAATTTACATATTCCATTTTGCTTATCTTTGTTAAGATTTATTCAAAACCAAGAGGAATAGTAGAATCTTTTGCTCTTTCATGTCTTCTTGATATTCAGGGGTTTTTTCCTGTACAAAATTAGATGCTAAAGCATTGGGAGCACATTACTCCAATAGGGATACTGGCTTGCTTTGTATGGTTCCTTTCAGCATAATGTGGCTTACTTGTTTATGACATAAATTTTGGTTTTGGTTTATCTCATAGAATGATTAAGGCTCCAGATTCCTTGAGTTTACTTGACGCTTAATAAATTTTGTTCTATCCTCCTCTCATTTTTATTCTGTATCTTTGATTTTTTAGATGTTTCTTATAAGCAACAGATTTTGGGGCTTTGTTTTCTTATCCAATCTGTCACGCTTATTTTATTAATTATTGAATCCATTTGCATTTAAACTTGTGAAAGGTTTATATTTTCTTTCATTTATTTCTAATTTTCTTTTAAACTAGGATTTTTTATTGTTGTCTTCCCCTGCAAAGGCAGCAAGCCATTACCACTTTTGCAAATGCTGCCTTTCTCCCCAGCATATACCCCCAAGAAGTCACTGATAAAAAGGATCCATATACACCAGAATATTTATAGCCAATGTTCCTCATGCCTGCAATTCTCTTTCTTCATCACCAACTACTCACTTTCTTAGCTACCTTGAAATGCCAGCTTAAATCCACCTTCTACAAGAAACCTTTCCCAATCCCCCTTAATGCTACTGCCTTACCTAAATTGATTAGCTCATTTATTCTGTATATATTTTGTCTGTATCTAGAAGCGTTTATGTTGTCTCCTTCATTAGACTGTGCACTCCTTGAGAGCAGGGACTTTTTTTTTTAAATCCCCAAAACTTAGCAGAGTGCCTGACACATATTAAGCCCTTAATAAATGCCTGTTGACTGTTTATTGACTCACAAACAACTAGAAACAAGGGAGATGTCCATCTGTTGAGGAACAGCCAAACAAATTACGGTACAGGAACATTCTAGAATATCGGTGTACTTTAAGAAACAACAGATATGATGAATACAGAGGCATGGAAGGACTTACATGATCTGATACAAAGTAAACCAGAACCAAGAAACACCATGTAAGATGACTATAACTAAGTGAATGGAGAGAACCATAACAACTCTATTTTAAAATGGAAAAATATATTTAGCTTGCAGGCTATACAGAAACAGGTGGCAGGCCAGATTTGGCCCTTGGAGTGTAATTTGCTGCACCCTGCATACGCCAATGAGGTTGTATTGATTCCAGCCAAATTCTAGGTTATATTTTTAAAAGAATGGTTTATGACCATTTAGAAATGAAGGCAGTAATGAGGAGGAGCCAGAATGGCTTCACTAAGAACAAGACATACCTTTTATAACAAGGGGCAGCAAGGTGGTGCAGGGGAACAGAGTGCCAGTCCTGGAGTCAGGTAGACTTCAGTCTAAATCCAGCCTCTGACATTTACTAGCTGGGTGACCCTAGGCAAGTCATTTGACCCTGTTTGCCTCAGTTTCCTCATCTGTAAAATGAGCTGGAGAAGGAAATGACAAACCACTCCAGTAACTCTGCCAAGAAAACCCAAAAAGGGGTCACAAAGAGTCAGTCATGACTGAAATGACTGGACAACAACAAATGAAGTGAAGGATGGACAGGTAACATAAGTAGATTTCAGTAAATGTTTAACAAAGTGATTCATTTACACAAAAAGAAAGGTAAGAGACTGCATGAGAGCAGTTTGGGGGAGCCCAAAGAAGCTGAATGACCTGACCCAAAGAATAATAATGAATGGGTTACTATCACCTCGGACAGGGACTCACTCCAGGAGAATGTCAGATGCTGTTCAACATCTTTGTTATTGAGTACATACATACTCATTTATCTATCCTCCCTGCCCACCCACCCAGGTGTGACCTTAGGTTACTAGTAAAATAACTTTACTGCTTCTGTGTTCTCACCCCATCTGGGGTATGAGGTATTTGGTAATCAAGTCCAAACTGTTCCAACATTAAAGTTCCTCTGAGGTGACTGCAATTGGGGAACTGTTCTTCATAATGACAACACTTATTTTGCTGTCCCCTCCCAAAGTAATCCCTCCACAGCTTGAGATCATTCTAGAACACACCAAACCCATTCTACTAGCATTTATTAAGCACCTACTATGTGCCAGTTACCATGAATACAAAAACAAACAAAACAGTTCTGCCCTCCAGAAGCCTATTCTTACTCTCCATAGTTTGAATGTATGCTCAGGCTTGATTTGCTTCAGTCCTGCTTTGTGCTGATTGGCACAGCAATGGGTCCGAGGCAAAGGTGGCCTCTTTTCTTCTGGCCGTTCTACTCAAGGTCATTTCTTTGAGGTTTTTTAACTGAATATGATAGCCGTACAGCTGTGTTGCTAACCCTACATGGAATTTACATTGTTATTGATTGTCATTCATAGCTGTAATTTTTTTTTAAGGATTTACTTGTTGAAGTTGTTTCTGAGGAGCTTTTCATATCAAATTCTCAAAGGAGGCTTGCTTTTTCCAGTAGAGATTCTTAGTTGTAGGTGTTCTGAAAACCCATTTTTAGGGGTAAGGGAACCTTTAATAGTAGGTGCAGTTTAATTGAATAGTACAAGAGGTCTTAAAGTACAATTTCCCCTGATTTGTGACATATAAATTCAAACTCTGTCTGGTCTCATCTTAGGTGAAAAATTGTGTGCAATTCAAATTGGTGTTCCTTGATAGGTGACTGTTTACTGATTCTCTGCTTGGAAAATCATCTCTTGTTCTGTTAGCAGTCTCATATGCTGTCCATCCCTCTTCCAATGATTCTGAGAAACTTACTTACACAATTACTTTTTTCTTTTTTTCTCTTTTTTTTACATTTTGGGAGAGTACAATGAAATGGGCAGCAGACTCTATGGCACTATTCTCGAGGGCCTGAAACCTGTCACACAATACTAGTAAAATTAAACCTCAACTGTACAAAGTTCTAGTTAGAACTGGCTGCTGAAACTCTTCCACAAACTTGCTGAGGCTGCAGTTGTAATTCTACCTCTCTCACCCTGAGTTGGCCTTCCTGGTTAATTTTTAGAAACCCCTACTTTTGCTACTGGTCCATGTTCCCTGACCCTATCACCCCAACAGCAATGTGACAGCTGCCCCAGCAGGCACTTTATCTGGAGACCTTATATAAACTCAGGCAATCAGAGGTAGTATGCCTTTGACTAGGACTCACATTTGCTCATCTGGGCCACTACTTGGCAAGCTGCCCTAGTATGGGGCATAATTTTGGAGGTGCGGGGGATGACCTGGGACTCCATCTGTGAGTAAATTGCTATTAATCTGCCCAAACCTTTCTATGATGTGCTGGCCTGAGTCATAAAACATTTTAATTCATCCCAGGGTGCATTCACCAGAACTCACCATAAATCTGCATGACAACAATGACTTTTAAATTATCTAAGATCAGTCTTCCAGTTGTCATCTGTTTGTAAAGTTGGAAATGAGTGTCATGGGATAAGAAAAGAGCAAATGTGCCTGATTTTCAAAAAAGAGATGAGATTGGAGTCTGCAAAAACCACACTGGGATTTGCACAAACAAAGCCAATGCAACCAAGATTAGAAGGAAAGTAGAAAATTGGGAAAGAATTTTTACAACCAGTGCCTCTGATAAGGGCCTCATTTCTTTTTTTTTTTTTTGGTTAGGCAATGGGGTTAAGTGACTTGCCCAGGGTCACACAGCTAGTGTTATGTATCTGAGGCTGGATTTGAACTCAGGTGCTTCTGAATCCAGGGCCAGTGCTCTATCCACTGCACCACCTAGCTGCCCCACATCATTTCTAAAATATATAGAGAATTAAGTCAAATCTATAAGAATACAAGTCATTCCCCAACTGATAAATGGTCAAAGGATATGAACAGGCAGTTTTCAGATGAAGAAATTAAAGCCATCTATAGTCATATGAAAAAATGTTCTATATCACTATTGATTAGAGAAATGCAAATCAAAACAACTCTGAGGTACCACATAACACCTATAAGACTAGCCAACATGACAAAACAGGAAAATGATAAATGTTGGAGAAGATGTGGGGAAATTGGAACACTAATGCATTGTTGGTGGAGTTGTGAAATGATCCAACCCGTTTTGGAGAGCAAATTGGAACTATGCCCAAAGGGCTATAAAAATGTGCATACCCTTTGACCCAGCAATAGCACTTCTAGGGCTGTATCCCAAAGAGATCATAGAAATGTACAAAAATGTACACATGTACAAAAATATTTATAGCAGCTCTTTTTGTGGTGGCAAAGAATTGGAAATTGAGAGGATTCCCATCAACTGAGGAATGGCTAAACAAGTTGTGGTACATGAATGTAATGGAATACTATTATGCTATGAGAGATGATGAGCAGACAGACTTCAGAAAAACCTGGAAAAAGACTTCTATGGACTGATGGTGAGTGAAGTGAGCAGAACCAGGAGAATGTTGCACACAGTAACAGCCACGTTGTGTAATGACTAACTTTGATAGACTTAGCCCTTTTCAGCAATGCAAGGATCTAAGACATCTCCAAAGGCCTCATGATGGAAAATGCTATCCACATCCAAAGAAAGAACTATGGAATTTGAATGCAGATTGAAGCATGCTATTTGCTCTTTTTTTTCTTCTGTTTTATTTTGTTTTCTCTTTCTTGTGGTTCCTCCTATTGGTTCTAATTCTTCCTTACAACATGACTAATGTGAAAATATGTTTAATAGGAATGTATATGTATAGTCTGTATCAGATTTTGTACTGTCTTGGGGAGGGAGGTGGGGACAAATTAAAACTCAAAAGCTTATGGAAGTGATTTCTGATAAATCAAAATAAATTAATAAAAAAAGGGGAAAAAAAACCACACTGGGAGATTGACTTATTCCTAACAATATTCTAAAACACTATTAAACAGATAGTTTGCAAGCCCTGAGAATGAGAAGCAAAGATCACTAAAAGCCAGAATAGCTTTATCAGGAATAAAAAATAGGGGCAGCTAGGTGGCGCAGTGGATAGACTACTGGCCCTGAAGTCAGGAGGACCTGAGTTCAAATCCAGCCTCAAACACATGATACTCACTAGCTGTGTGACTGTGGGCAAGTCATTTAACCCCAATTGCCTCACTTAAAAAAAAAGAGAGAGAGAGAGAATAAAGAATAGAATTTTGCCAGGTTAAGCTCACAGCCTCTATTGAAGGTAACTAGACCTGTAGAACAGGGGAAGGCTATAGATGCAATTTACTGGAATTGCTGGATTTGAGCAAAGCATGGAACAATGGTTCTCATGTTATCTTTGGTAATAAGATGGAGAGGTAAAAGCTATGTAATGGTACAGTGAAGTGGATCTGACTGACCCAAAGAGTAGCCATTAATGGATCATTAGCTTGGAAGAGGATGTCCATTGGCCTGTCTCAGTTATCTGTCCTTGGTCTTAAATTCTTCAACATTGTCAATACTTTGTAACAACACACAGAGGCTGTGTTTCTCAATTTGTAGATGGCAGAGGAATAGCTAACTGCTGGGTGACAGGAATTAGTTTACAAAAAACAGCAGTCAAAAAAGCCAAAGCTACACTAAACTTCACTGATGGGATCAGCACCAACCAGGAGAGAAAAGATTCTGCTGCACTTGAATCTAGCTGGACCAGATCTGGAATATTCTGTTCAATTCTAGCTGCCAGCATAGCTTTATCAAAGATAAAGAATGAAATCCTGCCAGCCTAAGCTCACTGCCTTTACTGAGGTTTGGAGGACCTAGACAAGATGTGGCATGTCCAGAAGAGGGCAGTAAGACAGAAGACTGGAGAAGATGCCCATGAAGATCTGCTGAAGTAATGTGATAATTGTCTTCCAGTATCTGAAGGTCTGTCGTGTGGAAGAAGGATTGGATTTACTCAGCTTGGCCTCAGGGGCAGAATCTGTAGACACATTTACATTTGATGTCACTACAAACCTCCTAACATTAGAGATATACCAAAGTAGAAGGGGCTGCCTCAGACTAAAAGTCCTCAGTGCTTGTCATGGATATGGTAGTGAGGATTCTCAGCCAAATCTACAGAAGATTACTTTCTGAGATGCCAAACTCTTAGGCTCATGAATTCTATGACTTCTCTAAGATTTATAGGCTCCTCGCCTCTTTCAGTCTCTAGTCCTACCCTTACCTCATGGCTCACCTATTCTCTTCACAACAAAAACTCACATGCCTTTGGATGAGAGGCCTGGCCAGTCCAGGTTCACCCACTATCTAAAATATGTATCATATTGGAGCAATATTTATCGTTCATGGGTAGGCAAAGCCAATATAACAAAAAATGACAATTTTACCTAATCTATTTATTCAAAGTTATCCCAATCAAATTACTAAAAAATTATCTGAGTTAGAAAAAATAATAACAAAATTCATTTGGAATAACAAAATATCAGGAATTTCAAAAAAAAAAAGGAAAAAAGAGGTAAAGGAAGGAGATTCAGCAATATCACACCTTAAACTATAAGGTGAAAACACTGTTAAAGAATAAAATGGATAATTTTGATTATTTTGATTTAAGAATTTGTTGTATAAATAAAACAAATGTAGCCAAGAATAGATGGAATGCAGAAAATTGGGAAAAAATTTTGATGGATAATATCTTAGGATGTGATTGTGTTGGAATACTGCTGTGATATAGGAAATGATGAGCTGGTTTAGAAAACTACATGGAAAGACCTGGCCCTATGAAGGAAGATGCTATCCACCTCCAGAGAAAGAGATGACAAGTGGAAATATGCATAGTACCGTCTTCCTTATATGTGTATGAGCATATATGTGTGTGTTTATAGATATCTATGCAGGGTTGTATGTGTGTATCTATATCTATATATACATATATGTAATATGTATATTGGTATTGAATTGTAGCCTTTCTTCGGGGGGGGAAGGGGAAAAAAAAGTAAAAAGTACACAGCAGAGAACAAAAGAAAATCTACAAGGAAGCAAAGAAAAGCTGGGTAGCTTTGAAGACAATGTGTACTATTAATTATATAGGTTTTCTTGAAGTGAAAATTTATAGTTTTGTACTGAATCTTATGTTCTGCTGTGTACATGGAACCATTCTCTTTTTTTTCTCATTTTGTATTTAAGTTTAAAATGAATGAAAAATTTATGAAATAAATAAAAATAAAATATGTATCATACCATTTTATGCCCAGGAGCTAGATTAAATACTTTTTAGGATTAAACTATCCTCTCTCCTATCTCATCCCTAGGCCTCACAGTTCTTATTGTACAGTCCAGCTGCCACCAACCCACCATCAAAACACCATGGTGCTTCCTTCTAATTCTACAGCAACTGAGGATTGGGGCCACAACGCTTTTAGGGTTTTAGTCTTTTTATTTTGGCCCACTGCTTCGAATTTTCATGTCCTGGACAGGGACTAATGATATGGCTTAATTGGTCTAAAAGAAATATTTCTACATCCAGAGACGGCTGACCATTCCATCACAAAATGGCTGATGCCATTTCCCTAGGTTAGTGGAAGGGATGCTTGCCCCTTGTCTATTCTCCACACTGAGCTCCTGACTGATCAGTTGCCACTGCATCCACGCTGGTGGCCTATCCTTGAGCTGCATAGCTTGTCTAAGCTATGCTCTGTTGGTACGGTTAGCAAAGTACTTTCTTTCAAATTCCCAAGGCTATATCCCCCTATCTGGTGTCATAAAGCAGGATGTATTGAAGAGCAGTAATGTATTCTGATGTTAGGAGACAATGCAAGGTAAATCTATCTCTCTATCTGTATCTATATCTACATAGATAGATAGATATATCCCAAGACAAGTTCTTCTACCTTGTTCAGAGTAAGGATATGCGTAAACCTTTATGGGAGGTTGTGGAAAGGAGGCCACACTGGGTGGCCAACAAAAATAAACATGTGCTCACAACACATACATGCACACAGCATACCGATGCACCCACTCCTCTGTAGCAACAGCTTTCAGGGCACTGACTGATCACAGAAATGTTCAAAGTAAAATCTCTTTCCAACACTATAGTTGGAAAAGTCTAGAGAGTCACAAATCAGGAAAAAAATGAAGTCACTCAAGCCAAACCCACAACATCGTAGAAAATTGGGACCTCCAGGGACCAAGAAGCTGAACAGCATCTTCTCTGCCTTCTCAGGGGCCAGAAGGGCCTAAAGTATCCAAAGACTAGGTACCTATTCTAAGAACTCTGCCAGTAACTGCTCTTCTAAATCATGGTTTTTCAGCACTAACACGAGAGAAAACAGGAAATACCTTAACCACTCTCTCTAAAGAATATGTAGGGAAGTGAGATGTCCTAAAAGGGCCAGATAGACTGGTGTGTAGTTCTCAGCACAGAGACCTCAAGGCCTGAGTGCTCATGATTCAAGGTGACTTCTGGCTAAGGGAAGAAGGGGGTGGTAGTGGTAATCATTAACCGACATCAGGACTATTATTATGCTGAACACTCTTTCTACCTGCCTCAGGATCCAGTCTCTTCTTCCCAGATACAGGTCAAAATGACTGTGAACCATATATAGTTGCCATCCTACTGTCCTCTAGGCCAGTAACTATCTACTTAGATGTCCTTAAAAAGTTGTCCCCAATTCATCTCAGAGAACTCATATACATCCTAAAGAAGGGGCACTGACCACCCAAATCTTCACTGATCCTTTGACATACAATCTTCATTTTCCCGGAATATTAATTCCATCCTTTCTAAAGAGGCAAAAATCATATACCCTCCCCCTTAGAAGATAACTATTGACAACAGTACAGTAAATACTTTAAATAACAAATAGCAAGAAACATAGATTAGTCAATCACAAAAGTAACCCTAAGAAAGGTATCATAGGCACATGGAACTCAGGTGACAGCCATACACAGTAGTACAAACACAGGCTCTGCCCTTGAGGACCTCATGCATTTTCTGAGACTTAGAAGCAGCAAAGCTGCCAGGAGATTCCTCATATTCAAAATCTGCACAAGGTTAAACTCTGGTGTGTACTCTCTGATGCTTCATAAGGGCTGACCTATGCCTGAAGGGTTTCCCACATTCTTTACATTCATAGGGCTTCTCTCCAGTGTGAATCCTCTGATGTTGAATAAGAGATGAGCTTTGACTGAAGGTTCTCCCACATTCATTACACCCATAGGGTTTCTCTCCAGTATGAATTCTCTGATGTTGATTAAAGGAAGAGCTGTGATTGAAGGCTTTCCCACATTCCCTACAGTGATAGGGTTTTTCTCCAGTATGAATTCTTCGATGTTGAACAAGATGTGAGCTCCTACGAAAAGCTTCCCCACATTCACTACATTCATAGGGTTTATTTCCAGTGTGAATTCTCTGATGCTGAATAAGGTCTGAGCTTCCCCTGAAGGCTTTCCCACATTCATCACATGTATAGGGCTTCTCTCCTGTATGAATTCTTTGATGCTTCCTAAGAACAGAGCTTTGACTGAATGCTTTCCCACACTGAGTACATTTGTGGGGTTTCACTCCCATATGAATTCTCTGATGTTTTCTAAGATCTGAGCTCTGCTTAAAGGTTTTCTCACATTCATTACATTCATAAGGTTTCAAGACAATTTGATTCTTTTGATGCACATTAGAAGATGAATTCTGTCTGGAGTTTTGGTCATTTGTAGCAGATACATGGGTTTTCTCTCCTGTTGGAATTCTACGTCGTGTAACCAGGTCTGATTTCAAATGACAACTACACAAACACTCATCATATCTATGGCCATTCTCTCCTAAGGGAATTTTTTCAGAAGGGATGGTCACTACCACAAAATTTCCATCCTGGGAAAGGGATCCTTCTACTTTCTCCACTTTGTTTCCCTGTTGCTTGTCTAGAGTGCCTTCACATTCATTGGCTTCTCCAACCTTGGTTCCCTTGGAAGCATCCACTGGGAATCTTCCAGATAGCCTCTCTGTGACTCCTCTTCTTCAGAAAGTTCCTGCTTTGGAAGGGTCCACTTGGTACTAGTCTCAAAATCTGAAATGATCAATAGAAAATACAAATGTCATGCATGCTGGAAGAAAGGAATCTTCTTAAAAGGAATATTAGGGGCAGCTAGGTGGCGCAGTGGATAGAGCACCAGCCCTGGAGTCAGGAGGATCTAAGTTTAAATCTGGCGTCAGACATATAACACTTACTAGCTATGTGACCCTGGGCAAGTCACTTAACCCCATTGCCTAGTCAAAAAAAAAAAGAATATTAACAAGGGTTCACATCTCCAAGTCCTTTATATACATTATGTGTTGTGATTATTTTGAATAATCAGGAAGTATGATTATCCTATTTTTACATATTAGGAAAGCAAGGATGAGAGAGGGGAGAAGATCAGAGATTTAGAGTGGGAAGGCTCTTTCAAGGCAATCTATTCCAACATCCTCTCTTATAGGTGAGGAAACAGTCCAAGAGAGATTAAATGAATAGATAAACATCACATGGTTAGTGGGTTGTGGAACTGGAACTAAAATCCAGATTCTAAATCCATCACCATTTCAATGAAGTCACATTGCTCTTAGAAAAAGAAAAGTCAAAATTAAATTAATATGTTGTGCGAGATATGCATGCAGTCTATACATGTTTCAGTGAGCTTTCACAAACAGTATCCCAATCTAGAGGAAACGGTAACAGGAAACAAGACTGAAAACACAGATGCCAAGTGAGGGAGGCAGGCAAGAGGTATGTGGCAGAGAGGACAAGGTAGCACAAAAAGTGAACCAGTCTATGACACTAAGAAAGAAGAGACAAATCAGAGAACTGAGGAAGCCAAAGATAGAGGGAATGGTCTCATATACAAAATATTTATAACAGCACTTTTTATTATAACAAAGAACTTGAAGGAAGTGGGAGCCCATCACATGAGGAATCACTGAAGTAACTTCGGTATATGAAAATAAAGGAATATTATTGTGCCATAAGAAATTATCAATATGAAGCACTCAGAAAAGCTTGAGAAGCCTTTTATGAACAACAGTTCATTAAGAATGCAGCAAACTCCAGAGCACAATTTACATGATCACTATCACGTAAAGGAAACAGTGTTGGATAATTTCAGAACTCTGAGCAGTGCAGTGATCTGACTTCAGAGGACAGCTGGAAAGACATGTGTCTCTCAGCAGAGGGCTGGTAAATTATAGATATGCAATGAGCCCTATATTGTCATGCAAGGCCAATGTATGTATCTTGCTCATCTGTACATTATAAGTTACAAGGGGGGGTTGGGAGTGAAGGAATTGGGAACTGAGTGTGATGAAAAAAAGATTATCAACAAAACATTTTAAAAGAAGGGGGAAAATATGGATGAGCCAAACAGGAACAACATTACAAACTAGTACTACAAACTGGAGACTGGGGAAAATGAGCTTTCATTAAGGGTGGGAAATATGAAGAGATGATGTACAGATAGGGACTGAACAGGTGGGTGGTAAGAATAATGGAAGTTTTCATTCTGGTGACCTAGACCATTTTTCGTATACTGACTTTCCAAACTTTGCCACTGTCACAACCTGGATCTTCCCTCAGTGCTAAAGTGGAACTTCCATCCACTCCTACTCCAGAACTCTTCTCACCCTGGAATATCTGTCTACCACACCAGCTCCCTTTTTCCACTCATGAGTTCCTCTTAGAGCCTCTGTTATGGGGAGAGGCCCAGACCAGCCAAGCCTCACTCCTGTCTTGGCTCTGCTCTTGACTTTCTGGACTCTGCCACCACGCTTCAGCTGCCATTTAATCCTGGAACAACCCTCCACCATGCTAGCTTCCTTCTCTCATTGGTGAGTTCCTCCAAAGGCTTTCCAGACCTGGAAACCATGCCCCAGTGGGCCCCTCTCCCTACTCTTCTGTCTTGGCTTCCCCCTTCCCTCTCACCCCATGCAACATAAGCTCCTTGAACACAGGGAGAGTCTTTCTTTTTGCTTGTATTTGTCTCCCCAGGCCTTAGCACAGTGCCTGGCACATAATAAGAGTTTCACAAATGCTCGTTTGCCATGTCAGTGGGGTTAGGCAAAAGGGGACATGAGTAGTAAGAAAAAGTAAAGGGACATCACAGTTCTGTACCTTAAGAACCCATCCATAAAATTCTTTCAGTTCTGCGATCCATGTTATGCTCATGGGGTTCAAAAGCTACCACTGCATGAGCAGGGATGGGGATCTAACAAGGACCACTATGAATACAGATACCTGATTTCTTGTAAATCTAATCAAAGCAGTTTTAAGTGGAAAAAGAAGAGAAAGAAAACTGCTTATTAATTATTAGAGACCAGAAAGGTTAACTACAATATAAGAAAGAGCAGAAATACCCAGAATATCATAGGAAACAAAAATCCAAAAGAGGAGGGGGAAAAACACGATGGCCTCCAATGTCTATGCACAAATGCAAAACATGTGGGTGAGCAAGGCAGATTACAGTCCCTACCACCAGGAGATAATTTGACCTCCCAGATACCACTGATGTGATTTGGGGTTGCTAAGAACCCCAAAATGTCAGGGTACAAGGCGGAGTTGCCTAGAAAGAATTCATACACTCAAACTGCAAAGTTGAATGTAACCCTAGTAGAACAGGGTGAAGTTTCTAGTGAACCTGCAAACTAATGTGGATTGAGGCTGATGCTTATATACAAAACAGATAGTGAAAGGATCTGGTTGGGATTAAGGAATGGCAAATTGTCTAGGGTGCCTCAAGTGCAACTGTGAAAGGAATGTCCAGTAAGCTAATCAGGTGATCTAGGTGGGCTGGGATGGGCCAGGTGCCTTGGATGGAGGCACCAGTGATCTTGGTTGCTGAAATGTATGGGAAAATTGAGGGACTGAGTTGCTTTCAAAGACATGATCTTTTCCTTTTAGGAGTCCAGGTCCCAACACCCCATTACCACTGAAGCTTGGCTGGATGAGACCAAGGCCTGCAACAGGCTCTGCAAGGTCTAACTTATCTGAAAGCAACAAGACAGAGAAAAGACAGAATATCATGTTATGTTAACAAAGTACACTTGGGTGAGGAACTCCAGAAACGAACAAGGGAAACATGATGCAGAGGAGCCTAAAATCATGTAAAAAAAAAGCTCCTCTTTTTTAAAACTGAAGAGATTAAGAAATAATAGTTCTCTTAGCCTAAAAACACCAATTTCCAAACTCCCTGTTTGAAGAGGGGTTAGATGAAAGACAAGTTTGAGGCAGGCTAGGGAAAAGGATTAAGGGTGGTAACCAAAATTTAGAACAGGAACAACTCTTAACTAGGCTACTGACCCATCACTCGCAAATAGTGCCAGGACCTGACCCTCTCCACTGAGAAGGGATTAAGATACATAGGGCAGGGAGGGCTCACGGGATTCCTTCAACTGACCCCAAGAGATAACCTAAGGGGAGTGTCCCACAAAGGATGAATGATGACTATTGCTTTAGAATGTTAATCCCCAAGCTGAATTTTAATCTACATTTTTTTCATTGTGCCAGATTTCTATAAATGTTATCCCAAATCTTCTTGGGCTAAAGAGTTTTGTTGGGGACACTGGGAACTATGCCAGTTTAGACATCTCTCTCTGCAAGCCAAAAGTAGCTTGGTTATTATATTCAATAGTAAATTGTTTCTTGAAGATTTGTGCCAAAAACATAGTATTAATATTTTTCTTCAGTAGAGACAGAGAAACAGCATTGATATTGTCAATGGAATCTACTACAGACTACCTGGGCAGAAAGAGTGAAATGAGCAGTTTGGGAAATAGATCAAAAGTCTAGAATGAGGTAGTTTTAACAGGGAATTTCATTTGTTCAGACACTTGCTGGAATCTTTCTCTTTTCCTCCCCTCCTCTGCCCTCTTCTGTCCCTCTCTTCCCATTTCTCCCTTTCTCTCCCTGACTCCCAAGTCAATAAGAATTTATTAAGGGTCCTCGAAGTAGAATGCATGGTGCTAAATGCTGGGGTGACAAATACAAGCAGACAAAAGACAGTCCCTGCTCTCAAGAAGTTTACTTCTAATGGGGGAAGAGAATACATAAAAGGAAATTGCAGGAGAGAGGAGAGGAGCTCAAGGTATCTTCCCCATTGTGACCCTTGGGCAAACCAGACCAGCTTTACTCCTTTCTCTTCTCTTGAATCCCTTGCCCTCTTATCCTATCACTGACCTGTCCAAGAACTGTTCCACCCGCCATCCTCTGCCTTCACTCCCACTGCAGAATGAAGGTGGAGAGAAGCACGAAACTACGCTGCGTGGGACCATTACAAATTTACTTTTGTTATTATTGTTCAGGTGTGTCTGACTCTTTATGAACCCATGTGGGGTAGATACTGGGGTAGTTTGCCATTTCCTTCTCCAGTGGATTAAGACAAACAGAGGTTAAGTGATTTGCCCAAGGTCACAGTATCTGAGACAAGATCTGAACTCAGGTCTTCCTGACTCCAGGCCCAGCACTCCATCCACTAAACCAGCTAGCTGCCTCTAATTTATGTTACATAACCTCAACTGGGCCCTCACTACACCAAGGCATTCCTTGTGAACCTCCTAAATCAATTCACTATCCCACTCACAGCAGCACCACTTCTAAAACTATTCATCCCTCCTCAAACTTCCAATGACTCCCAGTCCCTAACTCCCTCAACTGAAAACCCCGCCCTATATTTCAATGAAAATACTGAGGCCATTTGTCAAGACCTCCTTCTTTTCCCCTCCCTCTTCCTCTCAGATCACTCAGTGGTCTTCTGCCATTACCTTTACTCGTGGCTCTCTTGAAGAGATAGTGCTTCTACTCACCAAGGCTCACCCCTCTACCTGCTCAAGGGATCCCATTCTTTCCCGTCTCCTCCAACAGACTGCCCCCTCTGTCATCCCCACTCCATCACTTTTCTTTATCTTTCCCTGGCTTTAACCTTCCGGCTGCTTCTCTACTGCCTACCAACATGTCCACATCTCTTCTGTCCTCAAAAAACCTCACTGACATGTCCATTCTCACTAGCTACCACTCTCTATTTTTCCTCCCTTTCCTGGCTAACCTCCCTGAGATGGTTTTTTACACTAAGTGCTTCCACTTCCTTCCCCATCACTCTCTCTCTTTTTACCTCTCTGTAGTCTGGCTTCTGACTTGATCATTCAACTGAAACTGCTTTCTCCTAAGTTACTAACAATCTCTGAATTGTCAAGTCTAATGACCTTTCTCAACCTTCATCCTTCTTGAACTCTCTATAGCCTGTGACAGTGTCAATCACCCTTTTCTCTTTCATATGCTTCTCTCCAGGTTTCATCCACACTTCTCTCTCCTGGTTTTCCTCCTGACTGTTCCTTCTCAGTCTCCTTCATTAAACATTTGTCCAGGACATCACTAATTATAGGTGTCCCCCAAGGCTCTGTCCTGTGACTTCTTCTCTTCTCCCTCTATACTCACTCCCATATATTCAATTATCATCTCTGATTGGATGATTCTCAGATCTACCTAGCCAGCCCTAATCTCTTTTTTTTTCTTTTGGCTAGGGCTAAATGACTTGCCCAGGGTCACAAAGCTAATAAGTGTCATCCACCTAACTGCCCCCACCTAATCTCTTTACTGACCTTCAGTATCTCATCTGCAACTGCCTATCAGACATCTCAAACCAAATGTTCCATAGACATCTTAAGCTCAAAATATCCAAAACTGAATTCATTATCATTCCCCCTCAATCCTCCCTTCTTCCCAACTTCATTTCTACGTGAGAAATAATTCATTTGGACCTACTCCATTCCAATCACTATCAATCAATTTGATATGATTCCACAGGGGTGGTGATTATACATTCTGTATATCAAGTCTCAGAGCTGTGAACTACAAATTGTAAATTTACTTGTTTAATCACAGGAAGCTAACTAGAGGCCTCCACCCTTGTTTTTCCTTGTCATGGTGACCAAGCCCAGTGTGGCAGAAGTAACTCAATTATATGGAAAGTCTTCCAATTCATTTTTGTATCTCTTGATCATTCTCTCTTGTCCAACACAGGCAGGTGACCATCTTATGAGTATTTATTCAATAGAGATGTCCCATGCTCCATCCAATCTATGACCCCCCTGTTAATATATCAAGTTCTGGCCCACAAGCGCAAGGTCTATCAACCAATGAGACTGTGTACTTTACCATGCCTCTTTTGCGTATTTGGTAATCAAGCCCTATGAAAACAAGGTCCCGGAAGAAGGGGGCATCGCAGATTATGAGGAAAATCCTAAGTCCACTTCATTAGAGGGGACCATGGACCCTTTAATAAAGTACTATTGGCTGACAGATCTGTCTCAGTCTCTTTTAATACAGGTTGGACAATTTTAATTCCACAACTACTACCCAAAGCACTCCCTTCCCAGACTCAAAACCTAGGGGTCATCCTGGACTCCTCACTCTCTCTCACCTCCCTATCAAAAGAACTATCAAGTCCTGTGCTTTTTAACCTTCCTAACACCTCTAGTATGTGCTTCCTTCTCTCCAGTGGCATTGCTATTAGCCTGGCACAGTTTATCATCAGCTCATGCCTAGACTACTGCAATAGCCTTATAGTTGATCTCCCTGCCCCAAGTCCCTTCCTATTTCAGTCAATCCTCCACTCAGTTGTAAGGCTGTATGTCTGACTATTTCACTATTTATTTAATAAACTCCAGTGGCCCTTCCTGGATGAAATATGAAAATCATTTATCTGGCTTTTAAAACCTTCAATAACTTGGCTTCCTCTTACCTTTCTAGTATTCTTTTTTATTTATTTTTAATTTTTTTAATTAATTTTTTAAATTTTCAGTTCTAAATACTGTCTCTCCCTCTAGTTGAGAAGGCAAGCAATGATACCCATCATACATGTAAAGCTGAAGTCATGCAAAACATTTCCATATTAGACATGTTGGGGGAAAAAAAAAGCAAAAAAAACAAAGGAAGTAGAAAAAATATGCTTCAACAGGCCCTCAGAGGCCATCAGTTCTCTCTCTGGAAGTGGACACTATTTTTCATCACGAGTATTTTGGAATTATCAGAGATCACTGTACTGATCATTAACAACAGCTCATGTCTTCCACAGTTGACTGTGTTATGATATTGCTGTTACTGTGTACAATGTTCTCCTCTTTCCAGGCTTCCTAAATCTTACTTCCCTGCACACACAAGAGATCCAGTGACGTGCTGTGCCTCAAGCATAACTATGAATTTCCCACTCCTTGTATTTCTCACTGGCTGTCTCCCATGACTGGAATAGTCTTTTCCCAACCCTGCCTCCTGATTTCCATGCCTTCCTTCAAATCCCAGCTAAAATTTTCTACAAGACGCTCTTCTCAATCCCATGATGCTAGTGCCTTCCTTCTGTTGACTATCCCCAATTTACACCATATAACATATATCTTGTTTGTACACAGTTATTTGCATGTTGTCTTTACCATTAGACTGAGAGCTTCTTGAGACTACGGACTGTTTTTTGCCTTTCTTTATATAATCAGTACTTAGCCCAATGTGTGGCACACAGCAGGCGCTTAGTAAATGCTTGCTAACTTATCTTGATGTCAAAAAAGCACAAAGCAAATGTAGCTTGTAAAGCTGTCAATAAAAACAGTAAAGCAAAATTTCCTGGGGATAATTGAACCAGGAATGTAATTTTCTCTTATCCCTGAAAAGTTAAAGATGGTGACAATTCTGACTTTCTAATTTGCAAAATAATATAACACCTGAAATGACTGGGCTTTAAAATAAGAAGCTCTCTACAGCTTCATGGAATCACCCATTCTAAATGGGAAGGGATTTGAAAGATGATCTACTCTAACTCTCTCACTTTACAGAAGAGAAAACCAAGGCCCAGACAAGTTACATCATTGGCCAAAATGACATTGATTGGAATTGTCAAAGTCAGCACTTAAACCAATGTCCTTTGATACCAAATCCTGTATATCACACTACCTCTTAATGATTGTTGACAAGAAATTGAGGAGCCAAATGCTATTCTTTTTTTTTTTCTGAGGCCCAGGGTCATACAGCTAGTATGTATCATGTGTCTGAGGCCAAATTTGAACTCAGGTCCTCCTGACTCCAAGGGCATTGCTCTATCGACTGCATCACCTAGCTGCCCCCCACAGTTGCTATTCTGATAGATAAACAAGCCCCATTCTCTTCCCGACCTTCTCTTTACTCCCTTCTCCCTTCCACTTGCTCCTCACCTCTTTCTTGTAGGAACTGAGGCTCTGGAGACTCACGCTTGATCTGGGCATTCATAGGCTGAATCTGGACATTCAGTGCATCTTGTGCTGCTCTCAAGGGTGCCATCTTCTCCCAGGCCCCTGCCTCCCTCTGTGTGCTTAATGCAACCTGTAGATGACAAGATATGTTTAACCTTGTAAAGGAACCACTATGAAAACAAAAACATCAATATAGAAAGGAATCCCAGAGATACAGGACTGAGGAGAAAGAACTAGAGTTTTGTTTGTCAGGTTTAAAAAGGCTGTATTAAGATTAACCATAAAATGACCCAGGAGGTTCCTTTTCATTATTAAACAGTTTTCTCTTTTCAGAAGAACGGTTGAATTGGCACATGAAAGAATTAACTACAACAGAAATTTTTGTTGTTGATAAAAAGGAAATCTGAAATTTAAGTTAATTATATTATATGGCTATTTGAACAATGAATGATTTAGTATTTAGTAAGATGAATATACAAGAAAACTTCAAACAATTGTAGAAAAACTCCTATTTATATTTATCCATTTTTACCCATTAAAAATAAATTGTAGGGGCAGCTAGGTGGCGCAGTGGATAGACATGGGCCCTGGAGTAAGGAGCATCTAACTTCAAATTCAGTCTCAGACCAGACAAATGACATTTACTAGCTATGTGACTATGTGACTAGCAAGTCACTTAACCCCAACTGCCTCACCAAAAAAAAGTTAGATTACAACAGTTAACCAAAAATTATACAATAAAACCACCACAGCTATAATGTTACTTTAACTTTTAGAAACTATGAAAAATCATGTTGTGGCACAGTAACTGCTCTTAAGCATAAAGTCCAAGTAAAGTCTATTAGAGCAGATTTAGAATACAGAATAAACTGACTGAACAAAAGCTGGGAAAATGTGCCTACCTCCCTTGTGGCTATGATAGAAGATAACAGCTGAAAGGAATCTTAAAAGCCATCTAGTCTAACACTTTCATTTTACAGGATGAGGAAACTGAGGACCAGACAATGGTCTTGCTCTAATACATGACTTGCTCTAATAAGAAGAGACACGATTCAAGACACGATTCTGAATCCAAGTCCAATACATTTGATACTCGATTAACCTCCCTCCCACTCCATCTATATTTTCAGTCTTCATCTTCTTTGACTTTTTACCACATTTGGTACTGATAACTACCTGATAACTTTCTAAAACTCTTTTCCTCCTTTGGCTTCAGTACCCAACACCATTCTTGTTCTCCTACCTTTCTGACCATTCCTCTATGTTCTTCTCTGGTTCTTTTCTATATACTTATAAATATGCTTATCCTAGGATTCAGCTTTTGTCCTCTATTCTTTCTCTCTCCACAACTGTCCTTCAGAGATCTCATTTACTTTCATATAGACTGGCAATTAAATCAACCAGTTAAAAAAAGTCAGTTGTCCTTGATTTTTTCCCTAATTCCTTATATCTAGTCATTCACCAAGTCCTCTTCAGTCTTCCTTCCTAACACTTTCTTTTCCTTTCTAATTTCCCCTGCCCCATCGTAATTCCGATTCTGGTCATTCCCCTCACCCCTAGGAGAGGAACTCTCTCATTTCTGCTTTTGCATCCCCATCACCTAGCACCAATCCTGGAATACAGAAAGCACTTAAAATACTTGAAATGCTCAATGATGGACAAGGTAAGTTGCTTCCTAAAATGATCTCCCTTTACTAAGTCAACACACCAACATCACCAGAAATGCATTTTGGTTCAGAAAAACCACTGGCTCCCCAGTGGTACTGATCAAGTCCAAACCCCTTAGCCTGTCATGGAAGACCCTGTTTTGTTTCTAGCCTTATCTTAAGCAATAACCTAAATACAAGAATCCACCCCAAACTAGTCAAGGATCCTGTAATTACTGTATGCAGGTATCAGTCTTCCTACCTTTGCTCACACTATTAGTTTTGCCTGTAATGTGGTGTGTATATTTGTATACACATAAATATATATATTCTCCTGTAAGAAGCAGTTTAAGGTCTTAATCACCTTCCATGAAATATTCTCAGACTAATTCGACTGACATCTCTTAGTCCTCTGAGTTTGAAAATGTATAGCCTATACAGGGGTTCCAAAGTATTAGAACCCCTTTTTAATAGAAGAAAATTATGGACCCCTCTACCACTCACAGGGCACATTTTGCTGGGGCTAAAGATCAAAATGATAATATGAATAAGGATTTTCAAACCCTTTGCAACAATTCCAGAAACACCCTGGAGTTCAGATTACCACTTATTTGAGAATTAATCATGTGACACACATTGTATTTTCTTGTGCTATTACTCAATGCTCATGTGTCATTTAATCTTTCATATGTTTTCATGTTCTCACATTTGACTGTGAGTGCCATAAAATAACAGGTTCTTAAATATGTACATTGAAGTTACTTGGACAAGTGAAAAGGGAAACCAAGATCTTTTCTATTTCTAATACTCTGACTTCATGAATCCTCAACCTCCTCCTCAATTTCAATCACATTCATCCCCATTCTATTTTATTTAGCCACCAGGTTAGATGAATCATGCCTTAGGCCTCAGGAACAGGCCTAACTCCAAAGTCTGCAACTCTTAAATTTCCTTCTCTGATCACAATCTAACTCTCCACCTTGCTGCCCACAATCACAATGATGTTCTTCCTGTCCCTTCAACCTTCACTGCTGTTGTGGCTCTACCCAGCCTTGACCCCATAAGTCAGCTATTTCAATGACATTAGGTGTCACCTGAGAATTTTTTACCCCTTTCACTTTCCATACTGACCCATCCCCAACCCTGAATAACACTTGGCTAGACCTGAAATATTGTATGCTACTGGAGAAAGTCAAAAAACTGTGGCCATTGGGTGAATACATCCAAAACAACCATGTCAACATCAGTCTGGGTCCCTCACTATGACTTACTCCCTATACTATTTCCCACATTTTTTTTACTTTTGCCCATCCCCAACTTCACTTCCTACCCCCCTCCCCAATCATAGATCTCATTTCCTACTTATCCTGAGAAGACTGAGGTCATCTGACCTGAACCTCCTCAACTTCTTTCTTCCTTCTCACTTCAAAACCTCTCTATCACCTATCTTTTCTTCCTCCTAGACCAAAGAAACAGCTGGCCTTCCTCTTTGCCAAGTCTAACTCCACTTATCATTTTGACCCTATCCTCTCTTGCCTCCTCCAGGATTTAGTTCCCAACATAATCTTTCCATAATGGAATCAACAAGATCTGAGGAGGAATCCTGACTCAGACACTTCTAGCTATCCTAGGAAGGTCACTGATTACAGGGTTGCTGTCAGCACTAAATGAGGGGACAGGTGAATAGAGAGCATTTTGCAAAACTTCAAGCAATCAACAAATAGTGGCCATTATTATGAAGTTTCACTTTCTCTCAGCAAGCTCTTTCCTCCCACCTACAAATCATGGTTAGCCTCTCTTATCTGAAAAACAAAAGCTTTCTACTGACATTGCTACCTTTTTCACGTGACCACTCCATGGTCTTTCCTCCTCTTCAGTGTCAAATTTCTAGAAAGAATGAACTACATTCATTCTTTCTTCTTCCTCATCACCAGCTCTTTCATGCTATTCTGGCTTCTCTACTTTCCACTCTAGTGACCACCTTCTAATTTGTCAGCCTTGATCTCTCTGTAGCATTTGTCACTGGTCACCCCTTCCCTCCTCCTTTCTTTCCACCCTACTTGGCTTCCTAGACACGCTATTCTTACAGTTTCCTGTGTGCCAATCACCTTCTCTCTCTCCTTTGATTTCTCTTCTTCCTTCCACTATTCCACTCTCTTTTGGATCAGGGCTGGGCAGACTATGGCCTGTACTTGGAGCTAATATTAGTTTTTACATTTTTAAATACAATAGCACTTTGTTTAAAAATGTCTAAGCCATAGTTCATCTTGGGCTTACAAAAGCAAGCAGAGGGCTGTAGCTTGACAACACTTGCTCAAAATGTAAGACTGCTCCTCCAGAGGCTCTGACCTTGGTCCTCAGCTTTTGCTACTTCCTCTCATTTGCTGAATCTATCCACTCCTCTGTCCCTCCACTAGTATTTGTTAAGCATGTATTATGTGCCAGACACTATACTAAGTGCTGGGGATGAAATGAAAGGCAAAAAACAGTGCCTGCTCTCAAGGAGCTCACAATCTAATAGAAAAGACAAGCTAACCCCATTTCCCCATAATAAATCACATCTGCCTCTTTCCCACCTGTTGTCCTGGTTCAAGAAGCTGTCTTTCCAAATCCTCCAGCACAGTTACCACCTCCTCTCCACTCTCTGGATGCTGATCTCTCACCCAGGTCTGCAGGTCCTCTGGCAAAATGGTCAGGAACTGTTCCAGGACCAGCAGCTCTAGAATCTGCTCCTTCGTGTGTATCTCTGGTCTTAGCCACTGATGACAAAGTTCCTGGAGTTTGCTCAGAGCCTCTCGGGGTCCAGGGGTGTCACTGTAGCCAAACTGCCTGAACTGCAGGCGGGAGATCTCCTGGGTGGAAGGACTGTTCCTCTTCTGGCTGTCTTTCTTTCCCCATACACAATCCTCTAATTTCTCTACCTTTACTACTTGAAGTTTCTCTTTCCCTGTTGGATTCTGGGGATTCAGTGCTGCAGTCTCTCTAGATTCTAGAGCCATTTGAGCTTATATAAGTTGTTTTGGGTTTTGCTTTTTTTTTTTAAGTAGGCACTCCAGAGAGGTCTATGCCTCAAAGAAATTCGTCTTGAGCAGCTCTTCAAGGAAACCCCTAAGATAAGAAACCACTGTTAATACAGAGTAATAACGAAGCGGGCTGAGTTCCAAGAAGAACTAGCAATTTATCAGAGGAAGAGGGGGATTTTTAAATGGGCAAAAGATGCAATTACATAACAGAATATATGAATATTAAAAAGACAGAAGCAGTTTGTTAAGGGATTAGGTAATGGGGAAGGGTCCCTCAGTGGAACTACACATCCAATTACCCACAATGCATACAGAAAAACCCACTGGGGGGCATGTATGTATGATAATGATATTATAATAAGCCTCTTTATGTCATAAGTTCACCTAAAGGACAACTTTTGCTATTACTTTGCACGTGACTACTTAGGGAAAATTCTTTCTGTTGTTTTGGGGGTCTATATCCTGCTCGAGGATCCTGGTAGTACTACTTTCTGATTGGCTGGCTATTACGGCACTATCCAAGATTAGATGGATGTGGTTGTGGTTCAGCACATGTTTTTTGTTAGAAATATGAGGAATGGGTTTGGGGGCAGTGGCTAGCTAGAGACAGTGGCTAGCATTCCATCACATGGAAACGCCTGCTGTTATAGTGAGACAGTGAGACATATATGAGGGAGTTAGGATATTGAGTTGACGGGGGAGGGGCAGGAGCAGTGCCTAGCTAGGAGCAGTGGGCCTGCTGTTCAATGAGGCCTATGATTGAGTCTGGAGGACTTTGGTGTGGTTAAAGCCAGGTTGTATAGTTAAATCAGGACATGCCTGCTATTCAGTGGCACTCATAAGGAAGTTAGAATATTCGGGCTGGGGGCAGCTTTATTAGGATTCCATCAATAATAAATGCTATTTAAGAATTTAGACAAATGAATGAATGCCAGTCAGAAGGATAATTCATTGTAAAACGTAACAGGAAGAAACACTTAAAGGTAACACTAAAAAATGTTAACCAAATAATTCCTAAGCAATTCTGGATCTTTTCTCTGTTGTGATATACAAATAACAGTGAGCCATAATATAGTGATTTTTTTATGTTTAATAGGAATGTATATGTAAAGCCTATATCAGATTGAGCACCGTCTTGGGGAGGGAGGGGAAGTAACATTTAAAACTCAAAAGCTTATGGAAGTGATTGTTGATAAATCAAAATAAATTAATAAAAAAAATTTTAAACAGAATATAAAGATATTTTTCATTATAAAAATAGCAGCACTTTAAGAAGAGGGATAGCATTTGATAAACGGAGGCCCAAATAGGAAAAGTCACTTGCCAAAGTAAAACAAAATGATTGATGGAACCAAAAGGATCCAGATTACTTCTCTGGTAAAGTAAATGGAAACAGCACTAGCTTTCAAGACAAAGCACTTGGGCTCAGATCCTGCCTCTGATGGTTACTGCCTAGACAACTCGCTGTCGAACCCCACACAGCTCTGGGCCTGCAGTCAGGAAGACCCGAGTTCAAATCCAGTCTCAGACACTAGCTGTGTGACCCTGGGCAAGTTCCTGACCATCTTTGCCTCAGTCTCCTCAACTATAAAATGGGAATAATAATAGCACCTACATCCCAGGGCTGTAGTGAAGGTCAAATGAGACAATAATTGTAGCGGCACATAGTAGGTGGTATATAAATGCTCATGACTTCTTTCATACCCGTACGCACCATTCAGAGGCAAAAACACAACTGTCAAAATCACAGGCTTCTAAATTGACACTGGACTCTGGAGGTTTCTCTGAACTCTTAAGTAATTGAGGCATTCCTCACTCCAGGGATGATCCCACATCGCCCCCCCCCAACCCCGCCTCCCGATCCCTCCTCCACGGCCCAGACCCGGTTCTCACCTACACTTCCGGACTACAGAGGGACCATAGTCAAGAGGTTGCTATAGTGACGGGTTTGGGCGGCACGTGACTCCACCAGAGTCCATGCTCCGCCCCGGCCTGGCTCAACACAAGAGGGCGTAGGTCTACACTACACGGCCCCGCTGCAGCCACTGCTACTATTCAAAAGCTCCACTGAGTCAGGGAGCTCAAGGCTCAGAGTCCAGCACGGAAAAGAAGCGGGCTTCACGTCCCCAGAGAACAGCGCCGCCCGGATTGCTGGGAAACGAAATCCGGGGGCGAAAATGAACGCCCCAGGCCCCGGAGGCTTCTGGGAAGCGTAGTCCAGCGACAGCTCCTACAAGCGTCCATGACATCCTGTGTTCCCCGGCTGGAGATGCTTAAGCCCTTTCCCCTCTAAGGGAACTGTCCTCCTGGAGCTCTGTGTGTTAAGTGAGTCCTGGTTCCTCCACCTAGAAGAGGGCGGCCCCTCCCCCTCCCGCCTCCTTACCTCCTTACGCCCTTACGCCCACAAGAAGATGGCGGTGGGGATGAAGCCTAGGAGCCCCAGGATGGCGTTTGTTGCCGGAAATCGGGCTGGCCCGCTCCGGTGACGTCATCGCGGGGGGGAAGGGCGCTCGAAGTCAGCTTGGCTCAGAGGAAGGGGGAGGAGAAGCAGCCACAGCAGGGGCTGCTCTTCTGGCTCTTGGCTTGGGCCACTTTCTTCAGGACACCTTCCCATCCGTGCTGCCCAACCCTTGAGGCTCCCTGTGGGCGGTGTAGCAAAGGTGTTGCGGTGTCCAGGTGTGTCGCAAAGTCTTCTCAAAAGAATTCACAGACTCAGACCATCCCCAAACCAAGCCGAGGCATTTATTGGGTGTTATGCTTTCAGGGGGCTAGACTCCTGAATGTATGGTACTAAGCCCTTCCGTGTCATAAGTTAACCTAAGGATAGTTCCTTGCCGTTAGTAAGTCCTCTTTGGCTTTTTGCAGCCAGACATCCAGCTTCGCAGCTTGTTGGTGCTGCTTTTTTATTGGCTAGCTATTGTGGTCTTGTCTAAAACCAGGTGGATGGGGTTGAGTTCCTGGATACGCCTGCCGTTCTAGTGAGGCATATGAGGAAGGTGGGATATTGGGGCTGGGGTGGTGGGCAGTGGTAGCCAGCTGGGGGCAGTGGCTAGTATTCCATCAAAGGTATGATTCTTTGTCGGGGCCCAACCTGCCCTGCCGTCCATGGCCCTCTCCGGGCTTAGGGGTGGGAGGGCAGGTGTTTACCCAACCCCGTTCTCTGTTCCATTCACCGTTTTCTCTGTCTACCCTCCCCCCAACCCAGTACCAGGCAGCTTTTATACCTATTCCTCTGGGTTACCTTTCGAAATCTAGCAATTACAATAGCTAGTGTTTTAAAAACTGCAAAGAATGCCCTTTCTGAAGAAACAGTATCTCTTCTATACCACCACCCTGGCATGTGGGTACTGTTATTATCCCCATTTTGTAAATAAGAAAACTCAGGCAGAGTTTAAGTGACTTGCCCAGGGTGACAGACCAGTAAGTGTCTGAGGCTGGATTTGTATTCAGGTTTTCCGGACTCTGGGCAGTGTCCATCACTCAGCTGCCAGGGGGTAGTTATGAGGGAACAACCAGCCCTTTCCTCATCTTCTGTTTATTTTTTCTTCTTGAGTCTCCTTCCTACCTGCTTTCCATATGGCTTTCATGAATCTCCTTATGATTCTGTGAAGTGGGCTATTGCTATTTTGATGGAGCCCAGGATTAAGAGGAGGGAGAGGAGAGTAGCATAGATTGGGAATGGGAAATGTGCTGAGCTTCTTTAATGACCCCAAACTTCTTGAAATGAAGGGACATCTTTTAATTCCAATATTCTACTAGTAACGTGGTATGGCTTAAAGTTTTAGAACCTCAGAGTTGCCCAGGAATTAAAACTCATTTTGACTTGATGATCTTAGAGGTACCTTCCATCTCCAAATTAATGATCTTATAAATTTGTGTTCTTGGGCATATCAAACACTGTAATCCAAGGTTACAAATGAAGTCAGTTGTTTCTGACTTTTCCTTACTTAGTATGGTCCACTGATCTAATTTTCCATTTTAAAAATTGTACTAAATAATTTTGATGATTTCTGCTTTATAGCAAACTTTGAGATCTGGAAATGCTACTATCCCTTCTTTCCTACTTTTTAAAAATGATTTCTTTTGACAGTATAGGCCATGTGTTCCTCCAAATGAATTTTATTATCTTATCTAGTTCTATAAAGTATCCCCTTGTTAGTTTGCTTGGTGTAGAACTAACTAAACTAATTTAGGTAGTATCATCATTTTAATTCTGTTGGCACAGTTTAACAATAAGCAGTGAATTCAGTTAGCCATTCTTGGGAGTAAAGGATATCATCAATGAAATGTATTATCAAAAAACAACTTGGCCTTGTGCCAAAAGCAAGGTATTACCACTGGACTGCCCTTCTGGTTCATTGGTATCTTCACAATGGCATAAGGAAGTGTGGAACTCTCCCCTTCCCCAACACACAGGCTAGGTGGATCCTCATGTTAAACTTATGGGAAGACATGCGAGTCACACAGGGAAGGGTAGGCATGGATGAGTAGCATCCTCCTCTGGACTCTTTCCGCCTTATCAATATCCTTGGTGGTCCTAGAACCAAACATAATCCTCCAGGTAAGCCCTCAGAAAATATACAGTGTGACTATCACCTCCCTAAAAAGTTATTATTCGCTACTTTTTTTTTACTATTTACTACTATTTCATTGCTATGTTTTAAAGTTCATTATTAAGTTATTATTGTCATTATTTTGTTGTTCAGTATTTTTCAATCATGTCCAATTCTCCATGACCCCATATGAGGTTTTCTTGTCAAAGATACTGAAGTGGTTTGCCACTTCTTCCTTTAGCTCATTTTACAGATGATTAAATTGAAGCAAACAGGGTTAAGTGACGTGTCCAGGTCATGCAGTTAGTACAGTGTCTGAGGCAAGATTTGAACTCATGAAGATGAGTATTCCTGACTGCAAGCCTGGCACTGTATCCATTGTGCCACCTAGTTTGCTCCTTAGCATTATTTACCACTGGCTTTATTTCAATATGACTCATAAACGCAGAATAAAAACTCTCTGGTATTCTATATTCTTCCATCTTTGTGACCCAGCAGGTAATTAATTTTTGTACATGGCCCAGAGGCACTTGAAGTAAAATATATATCCTTTCCTTTTCCCATTGAGTTCTCTTTGTCTATTAAATTTAGCCTTTTTGATACTTTTATTTAAATCAGTTATCTCTTACTTATCTTTCGATGAATTATCCTGTTCTTAGGGAAGAATTTTGGATTTTTTAACCTATTTCTTCTTGCAAGACTGTGAGGTTTTTTCCTTTATAAATTTTCCCACAAAATTGTTAGGGATGTATATTTACAATTTCTGTGCTCTCATTTTTAACAGAACTATTTAGCATATTATATTGTTCTAGATTATTCCTTCAGTATGTCTTGATTTTAATTCAACTTTGGCTGATATCATCTGTACCACTCCTGCATGAATTAGCAGTAGCATGGTAAGTTTCAGACCAACCTTTTGGTTTGAACCTATGCAGATTTTTCTGCATTATCATCTTTTATTTCTTACCTTTATCAACCAAACTCCTTTTAAAAACTGTCTACAATTTGTTCTCCACTTCTTTCCTCTCACTCCTCGACCCTTTGCAATCTGGCTTCTAAACCTCATGCCTCAAAATGCACTTTCTAGTCACTAATGATCTCTTAACTACCAGATTTGTTGGTCTTTTCCGGGTCCTCGTCCTGCTTGACCTGTTTGCTGCATTGGTACAGCAGACCCCTTTTCCTCCTCGATGCTCCCTACTCTCTGGGTTTTCATGACACTATTCTTAATTGGTTCTCTTCCTGACCACTCTTCAGTCTCTTTGGTTGGCCCATCATCTATATCACAACCCATAATTGTGGCGTTGCCCAAGGATTTTGTTTATCCTGACTAAATTCCCTTCTCCACTGGGGGTCTCTTGGTAACCTCATCAGTTCCCTTTGGTTTAACTATCATCTCTAAGCAGATAACACACAGATGGAAAGCCCCCTGAGCTTCAATTCCCCCATAACGAATTGCCTTTTGGACATTTCAAACTGGATATTCTCAGAGACATCTTAAAATCAACATGGCAGAAATGTGTTAAGAATTGATTTGTAAGAGTGGTATTTCAACAATTGTCATAACTAACTCCATTTTGTTTTATAGTCACCATTTTGCCATGTATTGCCTCAGGAGTTCGCAGAATCAGCTTACATCAAGCTTACTTCCTCCAGTATTTCCTTTCTACCTCAGTTTGCTACAAAATATTTTTGATAGCCCAAGGCAGTATGTCCTTTTCTTGATCTTGTCTCACAAAGGATATATGGTACTCTTTGTAACCAGTGATAAGCATCCTCTTTTGTTGTAACAAGTACACTTTTCCTCTCTACTTTGACCACCCTTTTCTATAACTCTCACCTTTCCTCTTTCCCTCACCTAAGGAATGGCTCCCTGAATGGTAGAATGATATAAATATTACTAGTTGAATTATAAGAGATGAATGTCCATCAGCAGCTGCTGAAGTGTGTTTCACTCTGAGGGCTTTCCTGTTTCTTGTGCTGTCTGGTTGGCCTGAGCTTGCCAATGAATCTAAAGAAAACTCATGCAATAATTTTAACAACCCCAGGAAGTGATTAGGCTATTCAGACTCTTCCAGATCTTCATCTCTGGGAACTTTCCAGCAAGCAAGCACCAGAATAGTTTACATATTCTAGAGATGAGGAAGTAGAAAAGTGATACAGTTTCAGTCCAAAACCTTTGTGTTCTAAATTGAGAGATCTACTGGGCAGGTTAGTGTTTTGTGAATTTTTATTCTGTATTGTTTGTATTGATGGGGTGCCTTGGTGCTTGTGTTTGAGTGCTTGTACTTTCTCCCTAGCCTCAGAAATGCTATCCCTGACAGTTTCTCCCCAGCCCAAGGACACTGTGCCTAGCATGGGCCTCAGCACGACCCTTATCTCTATCCCTGGTACAGCTACACAGAGCTGGACTGCTCAGGCCCCAGCCCTCAGATCATGTCTCTGAAAGCCTCCCAATTCCTTAGTAAGTTCCTGTCTTGTAAGAAAGCTTTCCCTTGTTGCAGAACATTCTCTCATCAAGACAGAGGGAGAGGGGTGCTTTGCCCAGCCCAAGGAGTTTTGTCCTTGGCCAGCCCAAGGACTCTTCCTCCTGCCAGACTCCAAAGATCCATACCTCTGTCATCTCCCTCCCTGTCTGGTATACTCCCTGTACTTTCCCATCCATAGCCCCCAAAGACACCTGCACCTTTGGATTACCTCATCAGTGTCCCTGGCATTACTTTCCCATGCTCTTTTCCATATAAACCCTAGCTGCATTCTCAGTCTCTCCCAGGATCCTTTAAGAATCCTTGCCTGCTGAAAAGCGTAACAATGAACTTTGCCACCTTGGCTTACAGAAAGCTTGAGTCTGTGAATTCATTCCAGACCACCCATCCTGTATTCCAATCTTTGAGGGGTCACAACCTCTCAACCTCTTACACAGC